GGGAATACCACTACAAGGGGAATTGACTATTCTTAAGAAAGGAGAAAAAACCAAACCGTCCTTATTTGGATATAGGGCCAGAAAGAATATCTACTCTTTGCTTGATTAAATTTTTTTGAAGATCCCTATTTTGAAAACATTTTTTTCTAAAAATTTTTTTGAAGAATTGTCAAAGTTATCATTTTCTATTAATTTCAAAAATTTCTCTCTCTTTTTTCTCTTACCAGTTCCAGTAGAATCTATTTTCATAAATTCTTTTTGTAATTCAGTATTGAATGAAACCAACTTTTCACTAAGTTCTTTAATAGCAGCTTGTTCAACAATACTTAATCTTTATAAAATAAATATTTTTAATTTTTCTCTTTTTTTACCTTTCCCTAACAGTAATTCTTTTGTGTATTTTACTAGCCATATATTGCTAATAATTAATTAATTAATTTTTAAATTTATTTATTAATTTACCACAAAATGTGGAACTTTTTCTTTTCCAAGAAATTTAACATAAGCACCTCTATTACTTCCTGTTTCATAATAATTACTGGCAGAAAATATTGTTAAAACTTTATTGTCGTGAGTGAACTCATAACCTATAAAATATTGAAAATATTATATTTATTGTCGGAGTTGTATTTGGATAATATGTACAGAAGATAATTCAAGAAGAGGCAAAATTATGAGCACCCCAACTAACTTTTCCCCGATTAACGGGCTATTTAGAGGTCACAAAATTAAACTCAATTACCCTCATATTTGCATTCATGACTTCGTACCAACATTAAAAACCCATTACTAAAATTTTAGAAATTTTAAGGAAATCCTTTTATTTTTTAAACTTTTCCAAGAATTTCTTTGTAATGTCAGGCCCAAAATAACTGCCACCACCACGGAATGCATTTGGCCAGCAACCATTTTGAGGTTTTGGATCACTCCAAAGAACGTCAAGAATTTGGCGCCACTTAAATTTATTCTTTACTGTTCACCTCTATTTTATAAACTCTCTATATTGAAGACTCTCTTTGTAACTACTATTTCTGGATTTGTCCGGTAGTTTGGAGAATTTGAAAAAAATTCTCTCAACATTATAAACGATTTTTACAACTATGAGAGAATTCACAAAATAAACAATTCAACTACATTCTCTCAAAATTTACCTCTTCAACGTCAACAGAGCTTTTCCCCAATTTATTTACACCAACAGGAGGGCGTAGAATTGAAAGATACTGTAGAAAAATAATATTTTTATTTTAAAAATAATTATTTTAAACCCTATTTCGCGGTATCTTTTCTAGAAAATTTAAATCTGTTCGGTCAGAAACACCACCATGAGTTATAAAAAGATCCTAAAAAATAATTTTATTTTAAAAAATATTTCTTTGAAGAAGAACTCTGTCAACAACTGTAGCCAACGGCAACCAAGAAAAAATATCTTCCAACATTCGAATTACGGCTGCCGCTGAATCTTTATATTTTGTTTGTAATTCTTTAATAAATCCATATCTATTAAATAAAATATTCCTTTTCTTCTATTTATTCTTAATATTTACCTTAAATTCATTATGTGATCCTAAAAAATTAAAAAAATATTTTTGGGATTTTTAAAATAATAATTTTACTTCATGATTCCCTCTATTTAAGGCAACTGCGGTTGGGTGTAAAATTAATAAAGCGAGTAAAACAACAAAAACTTCCTAAAAAATAAAAAGTTATAAATTAAGGGGGTTATCTTTGTTAATCCCTCCCCCTCTCCAATTTTCAATTATTAATCCAATTTTAAAAAATCGGTTTTGGTTTTTAGTCAAATGTACGTTTTGTTTTTTGAGAAATTAAAAAATCACTTCAGAAGTTATTGGTTATATTATATTATTTAAATTGGCAAAAAATTCCAAAATTTTCGGCTTTAAACCCAATCAAAATCCTACCCTAATGGACAACAAAAAATAATAAGATTTTTTCTCTAAAATAATAATTTTTTTCCTAAATTTTTTAAAACTATTTTCTGTTTGAAAGGAAAAAGAAAAAAAATATTTATTTACTAACAACAGATTGAGCTCCTCTATCAACAAAATCTCCATTAAACACATAAGGATTGTCTAATGAAGGAAATCCATTCTAAAAATTAAATTTACAAAATTTACATAATTAATTAATTACCTTATGTAAAATAATACAAAGATCATCAAATTTACCTTTTAATAATTTTTTTATTAATTATTATTTCTTTTTTTCAAAATTACCATGCAAATCTCCACAAACAGTTACTTGTCCAGACATATTTGTAGATAAATGAGTAACAGTGGGCATTGCCTAAAATTAAATTAATATCGTACTAATAATTATCCTGTGTAGCAGAGGTGGGTCGGAACAGTCAGAGGTGTCGGAAATCGGAACTGCCGGAAATCGGAAATGGCTCAAAAGTCGGAACTCGGAAATCGGAAATCAAAATTTTTTTTCGGAAATCGGAAATCGGAAGGAAAAAAACGCCGGAAATCGGAAATCGGAAGGCGGAAATCGGAAATAAAATTTTTATTTTCATAACTGAAATAATATTTAAAATTGTAAGGTGACAAATTTTGGGCTTTTTTGAGTGTAATTTGAGGGTGTAAATTTCTTTTTGCAACTCAAAAGTCAAATTCGAAGGGATTAAAAGAGATATTGTGGGTCAATCCCTCGATATCACACACAGATCCCTCGTTATTAACTATGACCCCTTGAAAGCACACGATATAACTCAAAGTCCACCTTAATCCATCCTAATCCTCCGATATACCATTGAACTTCCATTTACAGCGCCGCAGGCAAAATTTTTTTGGGATTTTTGGGAGCCTTAAACCAAAAATCTTCTATTTTTTGCGCCGCAGGCGAAAATTTTGAGAATTTTGGAAGATCCTTAATCCAAAAATCCTCCATTTTTTGCGCCGCAGGCGAAATTTTTGAGGATTATAGAAGGCTAGAAGCCAGATTTTTTCCTTTTTCTGCGCCGCAGGCGAAAATTTTGAAAATATTGGAAGAATCTTTAGTCGGAAATTTTCCTTAAAAATTGTCGGAAATCGGAAATTTTTCCAAAATTTCGGAAATCGGAAATCGGAAATCGGAAGGAAAAAAACGTCGGAAATCGGAAATCGGAAGTCGGAAATCGGAATTCCGACCCACCTCTGCTGTGTAGTTAATGTTTCAACCTCTCACTGGAGGGAGTAATTAATAAAGCGGGGGGAGGGGGGTAATTATTTGAGAGAGGGTAATTAATAGTGTTTCACCGGAACCAAAATTTTGACCGGAACCGGAACCAATTTGAGTTTCGGATTCCGGAATCAGAACCGGAACTTCCGGTGAAACTCTAGTAATTAATAGAGTTTACAGAAATTATTTTCTTTTAAAAACACTTTATCTACCTTTAGCACCTTCCTAGCTTCATGTAAAATAATTAACAAATAACGAGCAGGCAAAATCTAAAAATTAATTAAAAAAATTTTTTTTTTAAAAATATTTTTTTGCCTTATTTAATTTAAAATGTTCAATCATTGCCTCAACATGTGCCGTTCTAATTGGTAAGGAAATTACCGGGCCTTTATAAGATTTGTCAACACGAAACAATTCTGGATTGGTACTCTCCCATAATTTATTATCTTTTTCTGTTTCATCTGCTGCTGAAAATTTTTTAGGAAATAATTAGAATTTTAAGTTTAGGTAACAAAAAAATTAAAATAAATGTATAGTAATTATCTAATTTGGGATTAAAACAGAAAAATGTTTTTTTAAAATTATCCACCTATTAAGTTATTAAAAAATTATTTTAAAGTTAGTGTTAAGTTTGTTGTCTTCAAGTTTTGTTTTTAAATTAAAATATTTCTCCAAATTATTTATGAATTAATCCCAATTATAAAAAATTATTTATAAAAAAGTTAAAAATTACAGAAAACTAAAATTAAATTAAAATAAATTAAAATTCTCTCACCATTGAAGGCGTGCCTTGTAAGTGCTGAAAGAAGTGTCCCGACAAAATGGTAATGACTTGGGATTTGTTTATCAAGAATGGACTTAAAAAGAGGTCTTGAATCCTGAAATATGGAACTCGACATAAAAATAGGGAAACAATTTCTGACCATTACCATTTTGTGGGGGTAGAGCTAAAAGAACGATAGAAAAAAACAGAGAAAATATTTGGAAAGAAAATGAGAAAATTTCAAAAAATTTTGAAGAAAAACCACACCTTGGCAAATTTCATTTCGACCATTTAAATCGTCTTTTTCTAACATTGCAGTAATTATTTCGTTGAAAAAATTGTACAACTAAAAAAGATTTAATTTAAAATTAATCTCCCTTCTAATAAAAAATATTTTAAATAATTTCTCTTTTTTAATCCCTTTCACCTGCCTTCAATTGATCTTGTTCCCCTGCATATTCTAAAGCTGTAAATATATTCCACGTTGCCCTTCTTCTTGATTCTAAACGAGCCAAGCAACGTCGATACCATTTTTGGATGAGAATTGCTGATCGTATTGCTGTAAAATAAAATAAAAATTTTTTTGAAGTAAATTATGTAAAATATTTATTGAAATAATAGAGAGAAGGAAGAAACAAAAAATAGAGAATAAAAAATAAGAATAACACAAAATCTTATGGTTTTTGATTAGTTTTAATTTCAATCAGACAAATAATTTGGGGAATTTTTTTAAACTCATTTCTAAAATGGGGATTTTTCGAAGGTGGGAATTAATCGAGTAAATAATTAAAAATAATAAATACCCAATTTTGACTCATCTAAAATTAAAAATATTTACGTATGTACATAATTATTACGTAAATATTATTTACAAACCTTAATTAAAATAACGCTTACAAAACGTTATTAATGACGAAACTTTCAAAAATAAATAAATATTATGCCATCACCATTAATTAAAAAACATAACAATATGTAGACCTTACACGTAAATGTGCAGACAAAAGCTACAATTAAAAAAAGAAGTAAAGGGTGCTAAACATCACTTTTGGGTGCTTCTTTAAAGCTTACACATTTGTGGTGTTTTAGGCTTCTGTTTTTGCCTGAAGCGATAGAGCGGTGATGATGAGAATTCTCTTGGGGTAGGAACACTCGAATGTCGAATATTGCTGTCACTACCAATTGAAGTTTTTTGTTGTTTTAGTTGTTCATCTCGAATAATTCTTTCACTGTGAGGTTCAATTCCTGGAGATGAATGTCGCTGATTTTGTTCGCTAAAAGAAATTGGCATATACGGAGCTCTTGGAGACGGCCTTCGACTGCTGCTGATCCCATCTTTTTGACTGTTCGGACTGCTCGGAGCAGAAGCAAAGGGAGACTGGATTGGTGTATTCGTTGTGGAAGGTACAGAACCAGGAGGTTGAAGCCATGAAGTAAAGAAGCCGCTTCCTTGAGTCTCTCCAACACCCAATAAAGAATTACTGGTTATACGGTTTTCCAGTCGAAGGTCACTTTTATTGGACATCTGCCAGTTACCAATCTCTTCAACTCGAGATTTTGTTCCATTTTCTTCTTTTGACACTTCAATATTTCTTGACGTTTCTGGATGTAAAGCTGTCTCGAAGGATTTACTAGGCGCTAAATGAGAACCAGTGCTGCCAACACGTCGATGCTGGCGCGAAGAATGACTCTTTCTGAGATGGCGATGACTACTAACCTCTCTACTACTTAATATATTACTTCCTTCTTCCCTTTCATTAACAACCAAACCCCCAATATTGAGAGATCTTTCAGAAGTTGACTTACACAATTCATTAGGCACAATTGAGGGGACGTCTTTTCCACTTGATCCACTGGGACGAGGAGTTGTACCGCCACTTGCAGGTTTTTTAAAATGTTGTGGAGATGGGGATATTGGCTGTCCAAACACTCGAATATTTACAGTGGCAGGGAATTGGTTAGAAGCTACAGTCGTTGCAGTATTTTTGCTTGTTGAAGGGCCACAGCCCATTCTTGATGAATTTTTGAAACTTTCTTTTGTTCTTAAAGGAAAGTGGTCAATTTATTTGTCAGTTAATAAGAAAAGATCAATGGCAGTAAATATTTATGAGTGTTTTTTAGCTAGTAAATAGTTAAAAAGTCAATCAAAACAAAAAATTGATCAATGGACAAAAATAAGAAGTTAGTAAAAAATAAAAGGATAAAAAAGCTAAGGATAAAAGGAAATCTGATCTGTCACTTTTTTGAGCCCCAATCTCATCACTTCTTTTAGGCTTGTCAACCTCCTGTTAATTTTTTATTTCAAGCTTCTCTCGTTATCTCTCTACGTCATTTTAGGTATAAATTGAAAAGAAAGGGATATTTTTTAGTTTTTATTGTGGTTAAGTGCACAAAAATATATATCATTAAATGCGAACACGAGAAGGGAAATTATAAATGCAACTAAAATAATAAATTGGACTAAAAACATCCCCGACAAAGCAAAAAAATCTTTAAAAAAGTAAAGCATTCAAACAAAGTTGTGAAGAGACTAAATGAATGTTTTAAGCTTTAATTGACTGCAAAAAACATTAAAAGTTTTTAAAAAGGCTTAAATTGATGGGAGAGATAAATATTAAGCGATGGCACTCCTCGAGTATTTAGAAGGTGTTAATAAGAGAGGGAGGAAAAACACTTAGGGGAGAGAAAACACTCACAAGGAGGATATTAAAAATCTGCCATATTTGTCATCTATATACATATGCTCATCTTCCTCTGCTTTCCTTTTAATAGTAAGCGGCCACAAATATTTAAATTGATAAATATGAGGCAGACGTGCGAAAACGGCACTTTTTATAATTAGACAAGTCTAATATAGGCGTGCGCTAATAATAACGATTTTAAAGTAAGCGAGAAGGGGATAAAATTTAGTGGGTGAATCTTTTTAAAGTAATTAAAAGTAACAGAAAAAATCGCTCAAGAAAAATACGAGGAATTCCAAATTGGAGGTTTTCTGTTTTTAAGTTCAAAAAATTAAAACTTTAGTCTAATATCTTTTCCACTCACATAAATATAGGATTACCCCCACAATATCTACAAAGACTTGCTTAATTGTACTCAAATTATTCTACATAAATGCATAACTTGAATTATCGTCAAATGAAAATTTGTTGATGTTTACCCCTTCTAAATCCATCTCTCTTTCTATTCATCCTTCCCGTTAAATAATTTAAAAAAGGAAACCCGTCATTTACTATAACAGGGCAACAAAAATCCATGACGACAAAAAGAATCATTTTTGTTTCTTCCAAAACTTTTAAAACAAAATATTTAAAAACAATCCAATAACTATTCAAAAAATTCAAAAATTGCATTTAATCCCATCTTGTCAATCTAATTAAATCTTTCATTTGGTCTTCAACAGTCCTATGTGAATGCAACATATTTCCAACATTTGCCCGTCTCTTTTCCAAATTTCCATCATAAACTTTAAAAATTTTTGGTTTATTTGGCATTTTGCGTTGTTTAGCTTCAATTTGTGATTGCCTCCATTGATCAACAACATCTCCATATTGTTCAATATATGGCCTCTCGCGTTCAGCATTTAAATAAGGATTTGCTAGCCATTGCATAACATTCCATTCTCTCATTAATTGTTGTCTTGTTGTATCAACTGATTCTTCACTAAAAACAAAAATTTTATTTAAAACATAAAAAGGCCAACTAAACAAATCTCTAAAACAATTACAAATGAGGAACACACAAACCTACATAAACCGCCCAAAATTAATAAAAAAAAACTCACGTTATTGGAACTTCCTGCTTTCCAGTACTAAAAAAAAAAATTAAATTAGACAAAATAATTAACAAAAACTCCCCCACCATTTCTTTTTTGGAAGTGACGGCCCAACATAACCAACTTCCCAAACTCTACGAAACCAATCTTCAACATTCCTTCTGCATCGTTTCACCCCAAGAGATAAAGAAAATTTCATTTCTAAAAAATAATTATTTATAATTCAAAAAATGATTAGGATTTTGAAAGTTTGGTTATTTTTAGTTAATATTATTTCCGTTAGATAAAAAGCAAAAATATTCAAAAATTGGAAAAATAATTTTAAAAATAAAATTAAATATCAAAACATCGTAATTTACATTTAAATTTCTTAAATACAATAAAAGCCTTTATATCAACAAATTTATACATTTTATTCCCAAATTTAAAAAATTGCGTTGGACAAAAACTTTGGAAAAGAATGAGTATTTAATTAAAACCAAAAAATTAGGCGGAAATCTAAAAAATTCGGATTAACCAAAAACCACAGGTGCCAGTGGTTTTTTATAACTTTATAAAAAAAATAATTTTTCGGCGATTTTTTGTTAATATTATTTCCGTTAAAAATAACGATAAAGAGTGGTAATTTGTCGACTTTGTTTGTCGACCGACTTTGTCCAACCCAACAATAAATCATTAAAGACTTTAGAAAAGAAAAATCACAACACTTTTTGGGGAAAGCCATTAATATGTATATTCAAAACATGAGTATGTGTACAGTAATAAAGATTAATTAAATAATCTAAAATTATTTATAAAATATGTGCACAACTCCAAGTAAATATAATTAAAATATTATTAAAAAGAACATTATAGAATACTATATATCTTTATTAAATCAATACAGGCCCATATAAAATTATTGGAAAGGAAAATATTTATTTGGGAAATAAAAAAATTTTTTTGGAGATTTTTAAATTTTGTAAAATTCTTGAAAATAATTTTGGGCATCTTCTCAAAATTTTTGGTGCTGCCTGAAATAATTTGGGTGATAAATTTATCAAATATAGGCCTGTCACAGTCTTAAAATTATACAGAAATTAAAAGAAAGGTCAATGATTCCTAGTCCCAGCACTATGTGATCTAATATTTGGCGATTGAGTTTTCCGTAATTCGTGAATTAGCAATCGAATACCGTGAGCCCAACCACCAATAGCACAATCATCTGCATAATTTACTAGCATTTGTTCAAAGAATTGTCCAGCCTCGTCATAAACATGGCGATCGAGAGCTAAAAAAGGAAAAAAAAGAAAAATAAATTTTTTAAAAAAATTACCATCAACTACAAAATTCAACTTTTTAAGGCAAGGTTCTGATATTTGTCGAGACAGGACAAGCTCTTCAAATTGTTTAATACGAAGCAAAATTCCTTCGCACATTGGACCCTTAAATAAATTTAAAAACAAATTAAATGTTTAAAGAACCTGTGGTAAAAGAAGGGCAGCTTTTGTTAAAAATGCTGCTAATTGTGGACCACTAAGCGAAACATCGCCTGCTGCTTTTATTGGAGTCCTAAATTTAAAAAATTATTTAAATAGATAACCTAACTCATTATAATTATTATGGGGATGAAAAAACCCACCAAATACATACCGATATTTTCATAGAATTTTATTTTGTAAAACTCCGGTAAATATGGAGAAAGGCGTACCATAAAATTCCAAAAATGAAAATGAACGTGCACCAGACTTTAGGATTTTCTGTGGCGTGCCAAACGCCGAGTTTGAGCCCACTTTTTAACTTTTCTTAAACAAGAGAAAGAAGCCAGCTTTCTTTTTTAGCAAAGCAGACAAGAAAAATTACTTTTAAAAATTCTCTCAAAATTTTCCTTATTACCGTTTCGGGGTAAAATATTTTTCTGGATATCCTCTGGACATATCCACATTCGTCTTAAACTTATAAATATTAAATTCACCTATAATCTGTTGGAATTGGCTGTGTTGTCGGTCGACATTGTGGAACAATATTTGGAGGTGAAAAAATCATTGGTTGTTGGCCAATTGACTGGGTTGTAGCTTCTTCTCCCGTCATTATTGTAGTAATACTTGGCATTTCCGAAACAGTTTGTTGTTGACTTAATAAATCTATTTGTCCATTTACAGGTAGATGATAAAATGGAGGGACACAACTCTGTTGGTTGGGATGAGAAAGAATGGCTGTAGCACTCAGATCCTTAAAATAAAAAAATTTTTTTATGTCCATTCAAAGTGAATAATGGCACAAATAATCCCCTTCCTGAAATAGCCCCCAACACTTACAGCTGTGGGAATCGATTGAAGAAACGGTGGTAAAGGTTGAGGCAAATTAGGGGCCATAGATTGTGAAGAATTAGCCGTTAATTGTTGTATATTGAGCTGAGAATGCGGAGCAGGAAGAATTACAGGAGGAGGAGGAGGTATAGTCCCGTGAGAAGTATCTGTAAAAATAAAAGAAATAATTACTGAATAAAAAAAGTAATATTAAATGAAAATAACATGGATATATTGTTTTAATAATTTAAAAGAGTAAAATAGTAAAATTAAAAATATATATAGTAATAAAATGGGATATTGTTGGATGAATACAAAAAAAAAGTAAAATAAGTGATATAGTAGTTGATGTAGTTGAAAGCAAAAAAGTTTAATTATACGTTTAATTACCTAACATTTTTATGTAAGTCAAAGAAAACTGGTAATTAAAAGAAAGTAAATATTTTAATTTCTGTAAACAGGAAGGAGACAAGTAAATTAAATTCATTAGATTAATCACGCTTTAAAAAATGCAAAAAGAAAGAGTAAAATGATTTTTGAAGTAAAACAAACAGACAATCATGGATTGAAAATTTAAAAATAAATTAAAACAGTATTCTCTAATAGAACGTAGTCATTCTATTATAGAGAATACGAGATCCCTAGAAAATATAAACACAAAATACCAGTAAAGTGTCTCATCGACATCGAAGGTGACGAACAATTTGCACTCGAAAGAAGCGATCCAGCAGAAGTTGGAGTGAATGCCGACCCTGGATGAGTCCCCAAACCTTGTATTAATTCTGGCTTTGTAAGCTGAGGAAATGATCTTGATTGGTGAAAGTGGGAGTTATTATTAGGAGAAAGAGAAAAATCCTTTTCTGGTGTGTTGAAATTTGAACCCTGAAAAATCAAAAATAAAAATTCAAAAAATATTTAATTAGAAAATAAATACCTGAATTGATGGATCAACAGGCCTCCTAAGCTTGTGTAAATGTGTTCGACTATTTAAATTAGATTGATTAATTGTAGGTGGAGGGTCATTCCATCCAGGTGGCGCAGTTGAATTGTTTTGATTATTTTCAACATTTAGCGATGAAGACATTCAAAAATACAAAAAGAAAATTTGAAATCTTAAAAGAAAATAAATTTATCAACGAAAATATTAGCAAATTAAAGGACAAATAACTTATCAGACCAACCCGCAGATAAAAAATGACGATTTTGCTGATTTGGAGGGTAGACAATAAACTTGTACTAAATAGAGAAAAATAACGAGAGAACATTGAAAAAAGGGAGAGAGTGAGAAAAAGAAGTTGGGACAAAGTGTCATTTTTAAATTTTATTCAAATTTTTTTAAGCCCAATGATCAATTTTTGTAAATTAGTTCAATTGTTTACGATAAATTAGTGAATTCTCTTAAAATCAGCTGGAATTTTTATTCTAGAGATTAGACTTTCTTGTAATTAATACATATTTCTTTTTAGAATTATTTTTACATTCCTTTTTTATTCCTGAAACATATAATTTAATTTATTTTATAAATGGAGAATAGCAACATCAATCAAATAACTATTGGAACTTTAAATCGAATAAATAATCCGTATTCTGTTGGAAGTATTGAAGGACTCAATTTTATTGTAATTTTAATTTTTTTTATTTTAATTTTAAAAAAATTTTAGGCTTGTGCAATAGGATCTCATTTACATATTTTAACTGAAAGATTCGAAAAAATTCACGTTATTCATTGTGATAATATAAATAATTGTGAAATTACTGCAGTTAGTTGCTGTTCTGAATCTGGAAAGGTTTAAAAATATTTTTTTAAAAATAAATTTCTAAATTTATTTTTAGATAGCAATTTGTTTCAACAAGGAAATTAAAATTTTTGAGCCAATTCAAAGTGGACAGAAAGTCAAAAAATTAATTTTTTTTTAATTGAACAAAATTATTTTAAGATTTTTCCTTATACTTGGACAGAAGTCCAAAGTTGGACTATGGAAGATAAAATTGGTGGAGTTCATTGGGTGCTCGAAGGATTTCGATTACTTTTATTTGTTGGAACAGAACTTATACTTTATCAAGACAAAATTATTTCCTGTTCAGTTGCAATGAATAAACCTGCTCAAAATAATGGCATTAAATTTACTTTAAATTCAGATGAAGTAATTTTTAAATATTTTTTTCTTTTTTATTTTAACAAAAATTATATTTAAGGAAATTAAATGGGAGGTTATTTGGAGAATAAAATTAGCAAACAAAATTAAACACGTTCGTTTTTCAAATGATGGGACTTTATTTGCTACTTGTGGTTCTCATGATCCTTTTGTTAAAATTTGGTATCAGCTTAAAGGTTTCTTCTTTCAATTTTCTAAATTTGTTTACCATTTTATTTTTAAGATTCTTTTTCTTTTATTTATTTACAACACCCTTCTTCTGTTTGTGGCTTTGAATGGAGACATTCTGGTGGATTTTTAATGCCTCGTAAATTAGTTCATAATGCATTAATTACATGGTGTGAGGATAATACTGCGAGAATATGGAAAGAAGTTCAAAATGGGGATACAGGGCTTCAATACAATTTTATCAATGATATTCAACATGCAATTGTTCAACAAAATGGGCACCCTTCTGTTATTAAACCAAAGCATAATCCACATCGTGTTTCACTACAGATGAGAAAAGCAAAAGCAAGGCTAATACAAAAATTTACTCACCATCAGTGAGTTTTTTTTTATTTTTAATTAAATGATTCGAAAAATTTTGAATTTAAATGTTAAAAATTTCCACAAAGAAATTTATATATGTAGTCATAGCAATTTCTCTCATATACTTTAAATTCTTCCTCATCCTTGCTTTTTAAAATGCTCTTTTTTGAATTTTTTATTATTATATATCCTAGTTCTTTACACAAGAACTAATCGGCGTTGGGCCTCAAGAGTGGAAACCCACCCTTGGGGCGCGCCGATCCACCTATTAAAAATGAAGACCTTCCTTTTAAAACTTTTTTATTCAACAAATATATTCAATAAAAGGGAGAGAGGACAGGCCAACTTTTGATCGGGCCCAAAACTTTTGAATTAATGAGAGAATGAATTTAGCCGATTCTCTCTTGCCTTTTATGAGGCGCTAAAACTGGGCGTTTTATAATCTTAACTATGACATTTATAAATTTAGATTTTATTTTCTAGAACTGAAAAAAAGAAACCTGACGTTCAAAATTCAACACAAATTCCCGATTCAACCGTTCCAGTTCGTCCTTCTGTCGGGACTGGCCCGACTTAATGATGTTTCATAATATTATATTTTTAATATTTTTTAACAAAATTCCAATTTCTATTTTTATTATTATTTCATAATCTTTCCGATGATTCTTTTCATGTTTCTTCCCAAATAATTCATATTTTTGATATTCCAACTTAATCATACTTTTAAAACAATTCTTGTTTTCACCCTTCTTTAAAAGCAAATTCTAATGCCCCAAAAATATCTTTTTCCTCTTCACTTTTAATTTTAAGAATAAAAATCTTCCCCCAAAAAAATTATTAAAACTTTTAAACTTTGAGAATAAATATTAAAATTTTACGTCTTTTCGAATTTATTTTAAGTCGAAATTTATTAATTTCGACAATTGGTGCCGCTAAATCGAACCTGCGAATAATTGCGAACCCGAAAGGGTAAAAATAATTCAAACTGCCTAATCGACGAGAGCGTAGCCCGATTAGAAGAAGAAGCCCTTTAAGAAGAAATAGAGAAAATTCTGAAAGATATCGGCCAAATTATCAAAGAAACAGGTCGTTTTATTTACATAGTGGTAGACAAATTAATTTCGATAGATATCCACAGAGTAGAAATTTTTCTAATACGTTTCGTGGGCGTGGTCGTGGTAATTTTAGAAATTTACGACAACAACAGCAGCAACCACAAATTGTGATACAAGTGCCACCGCAGCCACAGCAAATACAACATTTTCAAGAACATTTTCCACAAATTCCGCAACAGCAGAATTATTTACAACAACAACCAGGACCTTCAGCACAATATTATATTCCACCGCGATTAAATTACAACAATGGCAGCAGTTATTCAAGCTTCTATCCGCCCCATCAAGGAACGTTTGCGCCGCTACGTGGGAGAGGTGGAACAAGAGGATTTCAGCCTAGATGGGAATTTGCAAGGCGCTGAACGTCGCAGGCAATGTAATCTTTTAAAAGAAATGATAATTACACATATAGAAAAAATAAGTTGTTCGGTAAATGAGTTAGAGGGCCAAAATAAAATTTGGATGAATTGGTTAGGTGATATGGAAGACGAGCAATATCAAAGAGCAGCTAGAAATTTTACGGAATTTTCGGAAGGTCCAGAAGGCCATATGATTTTAATGGAAAGAGCCCGGGAACGATTAATACATCTAAGGGAAAACTTAAGAATTTTAAATGATTTTTGTCCATCCGAAAATGCGAACATTACTATAAGGAATCAGGGAAATCTAAATCAAACAATGGTTGAGTCAAATTTACCTACTCTCGAATTGCCAAAATTTAATGGGGATATAAGTAACTGGGAGGCATTTTATGAAGATTTCATGAGTATGATAGATGAAAAACAAATTTCGGATAAGATGAAACATTCCTATTTACGAAAAGCACTGAGAGGGGAAGCTGAGGAATTAGTTCAGGGCTACGCGATTACGGCACTCAATTATAGATTAGTTTTAGAGGTTTTAAAGGACCATTACGGTAATAAAAATATAACAAAAAGTGCGTTACACGGGGCATTAATAAAAATCCCGAGAAGCAGCAAATACGTCCCCGAGGTAAAAAATACTTTAAGAAAAATTGAGTGTATCCTTAGGCAACTTAAGCAATTAGGGGAAGATATTGAGCACGAACAAATAAAACAATTAATACAAAGAAAAATGCCTAAATGGATTTTAAAAGAGATAGTAAAAAGAACTAGGGCCGATCCTGAATGGAAAGTTGAGGCTATGTTAAAATTTTTAGATGAAATGATTCAATTAGAACAGCACGTATATTTGGCCCAAAAAGACTTAGATGAGATAGATGAGAATTTAAAAGGGCGTTTTAATGAAAATAGAAAAATAAATTCAGGCCGATTTCAACGTAATGGCAATGCGAATATAAGCCGAAATAATTATAATACAGGGTCAAAACAAATTTCTTCGGTAATGTATGCCCTCCAAGAAAAAGAAACTAAGAAAAAATGTATATTTTGTTCTGAGGCTCATTGGGAATCAAGATGCGAAAAATTTTCAACAAAAGAACAAAGGGCCGAAAAATGTCACGAATTAGGAATTTGTTTTAAATGCTTAGAATCGGGACATCTTTCAAAAAATTGTAGGGCAAAAATAAATTGTTTTTTCTGTAAAAAGCCCGGCCATAACACAGCATTTTGTCAGAAAATAAATAAAAATAATATAGTCAAAAGAAATGTCCCCAATCAATACACACAGAAATACAATTCAGCTAAAACCGAAATAAATAAACAAGTGTGCGTTGGAATAGAAAAAGAGACCAAAGAAGAAGGAATTGAAAATAAACAGTTTAATAGCCTAATAGAGCCAGATTTTGATAAAACACTAGAAATAATGCTTCCAACCACACAAGCAATAATAAGTCACCCCTCGCATCCTGAAAGGTATGAAAACATTCCAATCTTCTTAGATTCTGGGTGTCACATTTCGTTAATAGAAAATGAGATAGCAGAAAATTTAGGACTAATTCCGGTTAAGACACAAATTTTTAGAGGAAATGGTATATTTGGATGTAAAGTAAACAGAACCATGCCTATTTACCCGGTAGACCTACATTGCCTAGATGGAGAAATAATGAGAATTTTTGTAAGAGGGGCAGATAATGTTACCACAAGAATGTGCATTCAAACAAAAAGGGCCATTGAAGAAGCAATAAGTAAAAAATACGTTCCGAAAAACTCTCTTTTTGTTGAAAAACCAGGTATTTTATTAGGCTCTGACTACTTTGGAAAAATCTTTTTGGCTGAAAATACTGAAGCAGGCTTTGGAATATTTAATACAAAATTGGGAAAAATTTTATCCGGACCTGGAAAATTAATTGATGAAAAAATGCAAAAAGTAATTGGAGCGCTTTCTAAAGAAAATGAACAAAAGGAATTCCATAAATACTGGGAACTTGAAGGCATAGGTATCCACGAAAATCCAGTACAGAATGACGACAAAGTAGCCATGGAACACTTTCAAAAAACATGTACACGAGACTCAGATGGCCGATATGTAGTGAGCTGGCCATTAAAGGATGAAAATGTAAAAATAAAAAATAACTTTTGGGGAGCCATTTCAGTACTAAAGTCCGTGCATAAAAAGTTAATGGAAACAAAAAGATTAAATAAATACAATGAAATGATTATGACACAAATTAATGAGGGAATTTTAGAAATTATTGATAATGACGGTAAAGAAAATTCTACATTGTACATTCCTCACCATCCAGTGTATAATAAAGAAAAGGATAAATTAAGAATAGTTTTTAATGCTAGTTTTAAAACAAAAGGAAGCAATTCTTTAAATGATCTACTTTACAGAGGACCCGTGTTATTACCTGAATTAGTCGGATGCCTAATGCGTTTTAGAATGAGTAAAATTGTAGCTATAGCTGATGTTCAAAAGGCGTTCCATCAAATTGCGATTGCGGAAAATCAAAGAGATCTGACCCGGTGTTTTTGGCTAAAAGATATAGAGGGAGAAGTAGTGGAAAGTAATGTGATAAAATTAAGATTTAAAAGAATGGCATTCGGTGTTATAAGTGCACCTTTTCTTATGACGGCCTCTATTAATGATCATTTAGAAAAAACAAATACTAAGCTCTCTTTAGAATTAAAAAATGGGGGAATGTACGCAGATAATATATTTCTTTTTGCCAATTCAACACAAGAATTAAGGGACAAATGCGAACAATCCAAAGAAATATTTGCCCAAATTAAAATGAATTTACATGAATTTTTCTCTAACGATTTAAAAATAAATAAAGCATTTTCCGAACAGCACGAAAAGAAAATAATTAAGGTTTTGGGGATTAATTGGAATTTACAGGAGGATGAGATCTTTTTAGAATTAAGTAAAAATGAAAATTTAATAAATGAAAATATGATTTGGACCAAGAGAAAGGTGTTAAAACAACTAGCAAAGACATTTGACCCATTAGGCTATTTAATACCAGTCTCTCTCCCCAGAAAATTAATAATGCAGGAAATTTGGAAAAATGACATCGATTGGGATGAGAAACTTAGTCCTGAATTAAATAAAAAATGGAATGAATTAATGCAACAAAATAATGAAGAAAATATGAGTTTAAAAATAAAAAGAGAAACATTTTCACCGGAAGAAGAAATCGAAATACATATTTTTGTGGATGCGTCAAAGGATGCTTATTGCGCCGCAGCCTATTTGAAATGTGGAGAAAATATAAAAATAATTTTAGCAAAAAATCGACTTTCACCGTTAAAAAATAATTTGACCATACCTAGACTTGAACTTTTAGCAGCAGTTGCGGGTAAGAGACTAGTGGAATATATAAAGAATCAAATAAAAACTCCTTTCAAAAATGTGTATGTTTGGTCAGATAGTAAATGCATTCTCTATTGGATAATTTCGAGCAAATTAGAAAAATTGCCAAAATTTGTAAGGCGAAGATTGGAAGAAATTAGGGGCCAAAAAGAAATTATATGGAGATATGTTCCAACTCAAAATAACCCGGCCGATTTGGGAACCCGGGGTTGCACCATGGAAGAATTAAAAAATAATAAACTTTGGTGGGAGGGCCCAAGCTTTTTGAAGGATATGAACCAATGGCCTCCTATAGAAATGAAAGCTGAGGAAGAAAGTCAAGATGAAAATGAATTAGATAAATTAATGGCTTGTGTTTTAATGGGAGAAATTAATTTAAAAGTTAGAAACAAATGGGATGAATTAGTAACAATAGCCACATATTTTTTAAAATTTATTACAAAAATTGGAAAGAGAATTGATTTAAAAAGTGAAATTTTATGCGCTTTCAAAAATGCTGAATCAGAAGCGAAAGAAAGAAAAATAGCGCAACTATATTTATTAAGGCAGGCGCAATTGGAATTCCCACCCGATAAAAAGACACAAATTGATTATTTATTAAAGCAAGATAAGTATTCCCTTTGGAAATGTTGGGGGAGACTAGAAAATTCTGCAAGTACCCCACCAATATGGATGCCAAAAGAGTCGAAAATAGCCGAATTAATTTGCATGGAGGCCCACAGAAAATGTTTACATAGTGGATTAAGAGCCTCATTGGCCGAGTTACGTGAAAAATTTTGGATCACCAAAGGAAGAGCTTTTATGAAAAAAGTTATAGAAAAATGTGAATATTGTTCTAGATTAAAATTAAAAGCATTTGAAATTCCCCCAATGGCTCCATTACCGAAAGAAAGAGTAAATAAATCTAATCCATTTCAATTTTGTGGCATAGACTATTTTGGCCCATACAATATTCGAAAAGCAAATAAAGAAATCGGAAAAATTTATGTTGTTATTTTTGTTTGTGAATCGACACGGGCCATACATTTGGAAATGGTCAATGACCTTACAGCTAATAATTGTATAATGGCTTTACGCCGATTTTTTGCTGAATATGGGAAACCCACAAAAATTCTTTCTGATAATGGGACCCAACTAAAATTAACATCAAAAGTTGTAAAAGAAATAACAAAGTTCTCAACAAAAGAAACTATTGAATGGACATTTATCCCGTCTCTTTCTCCTCGATTTGGTGCATTTTATGAGCGAATTATTGGAATAGTAAAACCAGCAATGAAAGCTGCGACTGGTAAACGATTATTAGAGTCTGAAGAATTCCGAACGCTTTTGGCTGAAGTAAAAAAGGTAGTCAATTCTAGGCCTCTGACTTATGTGTACAATGAACCAGGGGATAATGTCGAAGTTCTTACCCCAATGAAAGCAATTCAACCTAATCGAAATAAAGAAAACTTTGATATAGATTTTGAAAGAGAAAGAAGTTGTGAAAGAGAGAAACCAGAAGAAAAATTAACCCGCATATGGAAAAATTCTAGAGAAGCGGTTGAAATGTTTTGGAAGCGTTGGAATAAAGAGTACTTGCAATATCTACGCGAGCGGGCCGACAAATACAAACACAATAAAGGAAAAAATTATGTCCCTGAAAAGGGAGAAATTGTTCTTTTACAGGATAAATCATTGCCAAAAAATTTATGGAATTTAGCCAAAATAATTGAAACAATAAAAGGAAAAGACAATATTGTAAGAGTAGCCAAAGTTCTATGTAAAGGAAAAATATTAACTAGGGCCATAGATTTGTTGTATCCACTCGAACTTAAGGCCGAATGCGAAGAAAAAATAATTGATAAAAATCAAAAAATAGGGACTAAAATGCACGAAATGAAATTAAGGACTAGAAAAAAGATAAATTATAAAGAGAGCGATTTAGAAAGTGACGTGTCAAGTGAAATAGAAATGAATCTTTGCCCATTCCTTTACGAAAGACGAAATTTCACCCCGCCAAAAATTGAAAGAATTGATCCAAATAAAAATAGAATATTTACAAATAAACAAAAATTTAATTGGGAAAAAGAAGGGCAGAGTTTAGCTAGTAAAATACAAGAGGAAATAAAAGAGATACCCGAAATTGAAAGTAAATTGGAGTCAATAACTGAAGAAATATATGGGATAAAAAATAAAATAAATTTAATTGAACCATTAAAAGAGGAAATAAATAAATTAAAATTGGAAAATAATAATTTAAAACAAGATTATGACAATTTAAAAATATTAGCGGAAAGAAACAGAAATGATATGAATAGGTTAATTGCGGATATTTATAAGTCGCCAGAAAAGATGAATACAAAATGCCAAAACTCGAAAAAACAAAATTCCCGCAAAAATTCAAAAAATAAATTCCTGAACACTTCTGTCTTTTTAATGTCTCTGGTACTAATTCTTTTTATATTAATGGGGAGAAGCGTTGGAGCACCGTGCCAAAAAGGACAAAGGAATGTTTTAGTCAAGTCGCAAACGTGCGCAACCAACGGGTTAAAAATAATGAAAGCACCCGATGGGAATTTTTGTTGGGAAATAATTAATTGTGATTATTCTAAAAAGGAACATTTTGAGTCTGAAAACTGTAATGTACCTTGTAAATGCCCACAATGGACCGAAACATGTTCCTTTTATAATGGCCCCAGTACTAAAAATTCAACAATAAAAAATAAAAATGTTCAAAAGATTTTGGAAAGTTTGGCTTTAGAAAAATGTGAGAAAATTGAAAATTGTGGGCCCCTAAAATTAATAGAAGTGAATCAAATACAATTATTTGACAATTCTCTCCATATAATAAAGGAAATGAAAATTGAAGAAAAACAAGCACTACCCGAAGAATATGAATGTATAGGAACCGGACCCATTACAGGCTCCCCTAAATATTGTTTAGACCATATCTGTGAGCTACATGGAACAAAATTTTGTTATTACCCAGGAAATGAAATTTCTCTCCTAGTAAATGATAATGGAAATATAGCTTTGAAGGCTTGGGGTCGTGTAAAAATAAAAGTTAGGGGATTTCTTGAAAGAAAAGAAAATTTAAAATGTGAAAAATGTCATGTTGAATGTCACAAAGAGGGAGTAAAAATATTTTCACAAGAAGAGATAGGAAGTGTAGAGATATGTGTAAAAAATGATCGATGCGCGCTCTTTCCCCACCCAAAATTGGAAGAATTAATTCCATTATCAAAAGAAATATTGGTTTCAAATTATGAAATTAAAATTAAATTTTGGAGATACGGAGAATTAGTAAAAGAATCTGGGATAAATTGTGAAGCTAAAGTAATTTGTGAAATTATAAAATGTAATATTTGTATAGAATTGCTTAAAAATCCACAATGTGCTTCAAAAACTGCTATAATATTGTTCGCAATAATTTTCTATATATTCTTTTCAATAATAATGACTGTTTTTCGTGTGATTGTGTTTGGATTCAGAGGGGCATTTTGCTTATTAAATTTTAAATTTCGATTAATGCGATGGATTTATAGAAAATATAATATAAAGAGTAATCGGGGCAAAAATGAGGAAAGTGAACTAAAATTAATAAAAGCCAAAAGGGAAATAAATCCGATAAAATTAACAATAGTATTAATATTTTTGACCATTCCCGAAAGTCTTCAATTAACCACTATTACCGCTCAGGAAGAAAAATGTGTTGTAAATAAAAATAAAGAGCGGACATGCTTATTTGAAAAAGTGATTGAGTTAAATTTTCTACCTAGGGAACAAGAAATCAAAATATTATTTGAGGATCACGCTAACAGACCAGCAGGAATGATAAATTTAAAAATATTAAACGCGGAAGCACGCTGCGCAAAGAAAACAAAATTTTTTACAAGAGAATATGAAATGAATGTAATGAGTGTTAAGAGATGCCCAGAAACAGGAAGTTGTAAAGGTAATAAATGCGCGGAAATTAAAGTAAATGAAACAATATTAGAATTAGAAGCAGTCCAAAACTTTCCGGGGATTACAGGTTGTGTCGAAGGTATGAATAATTGGCCAATGACAGGATGTTTCTATGCTACAGCTCCATGCACTTTTTATAGGTACTATGCAAAACCTATAGGAAACGAAATTTTTGAAGTCTTTGAATGTGAAAAGTGGGATATCGCATTAAACTTAAATGTTTCATTAACTAAAAATGACGGAAAGGGAGAATTTATAAGCGAAAGTTTTGAAGTAAATTTAATACCCCAATTTATGAAAGAATGGAATAAATTAAAAATGGTTTTAAATGATTTAAACATCCCTCCCACTCCTACACTAGTCAAACCTTTTATAGCCAATAATCGCGCTACAGCCATTATCGATTTTGAAAAAGAGCATAATCTTAGGAAATTTTATTGTAAAACAGCGCAAGAGGCGAGAGAATTTATAAAATGTAGTATAGCGTATAAAACCTGCGATTGCCATTTGGCCAACGATATAGCCGCGTGTACTTGTCAAGATGGGAGAAAAATATCCCAATTATTAAGAGGGGACCAAACTTTACCCTTTGAACACAACGGTCTCGTTTTTAAAACAAAAAACTCTGAAGTAATTTTTAATCCTGACCTAGCTTCCGCAAAAATGGAAGTTAGAATTGAAGGAATGTTTTTGCGCACAGAAATTGAATTAAATAGTTGTAAAGTCCAATCCGCGTCAATAGAAGGCTGTTACAAATGCGTTAGAGGGGCAATATTAACATTACAATGCAAAACAGATTTTGGGAAAAACCTAGGGTATATAACATGTCCTAGCTTAAAAACTGTTGTGATTTGTGATCCTAAAGGAACCAAGAGAATTATTTCAGTCCATTTAGAACATTCTAATATCGATGAAAATTGTGAAATCCATTGTCCCAGTTCAAACTTTAATTTTCAGTTAGTTGGAACATTAGCCCTGGCGAGCGCGGAGAAAGCAGATATTTGGATAAAAACAAAAACAAATGAAACAAAATTCGGAGAAATAAATTTACCGAGCATATTGGACACGCTTTCTTTCTTTTTTAACCCTCTGCACATCTTAATTTTTATTGCAACAATAATTTCCTTACTTCTACTAATCAACTGCATCCTACCAATACTCTTTCGCTTAATTCTAATTTCTGTCTACAAATTTTGTTTCCGCCGGAGTGTCGGGACTGGCCCGACTTAATGATGTTTCATAATATTATATTTTTAATATTTTTTAACAAAATTCCAATTTCTATTTTTATTATTATTTCATAATCTTTCCGATGATTCTTTTCATGTTTCTTCCCAAATAATTCATATTTTTGATATTCCAACTTAATCATACTTTTAAAACAATTCTTGTTTTCACCCTTCTTTAAAAGCAAATTCTAATGCCCCAAAAATATCTTTTTCCTCTTCACTTTTAATTTTAAGAATAAAAATCTTCCCCCAAAAAAATTATTAAAACTTTTAAACTTTGAGAATAAATATTAAAATTTTACGTCTTTTCGAATTTATTTTAAGTCGAAATTTATTAATTTCGACACTTCTTCAATTGCTGATTTTTCTATTCCTAATTATGCCTCAGGAAATCCTTTAGTTTTTTGTTTAATTGCAACAATTAATGCAGAAGGTAATATTTGAAAATACATAATTAGTTTTTTACTTTTATAGATTGTCTACTTGTTCCTGCAATTAGTCGTGTTTCTGAAAACAAAGACGATGACGTGAAAAGAAAGCGACATTCAAGATTATCATTTTCTGTCCACTGGTTGAACAATAAGGAATATGATTTTGAAATGGGGACACAAAAAGTTTTGGCGGAAAATTTAGCCGAAAATGAATCTCGTGGTTTTTATTGTTAAAAATTTAAAAAATATTCCTTTTTAAAGATTTGTCTCCCTGCCAAATTGTTTCGATGCATTCTTCAAGTAGTAGTGCTGGATTTGCCGCTGACTTTTTAACTCCACATCCAGGAAGTCTATCACATCCATTAACTTCCCCAAATTTGATTAAAACAAGTCAACAGGCTGCTGAATTGGTTTTGGATTTTTAAATTTAAATGAAATTTTTATTTAGAATGATCCAATGTCAACAGATTCGATAGATCACAAACTGGAGAGTCTTTTACGGCATTGGGTTAAATCTTGTGATATTCTTTTTGCGATTCATCCAATGGATGGAAGCTTGTTAACTTGGTATGCGTTTATATTAATTTTTCGCTTTGGGAACTTTGCATTTTTATATAATTGGTTAGCATACTTATGCCACACACATCTTTCCAAAAATTAGAATTTACTTTTTTAATTAAAGTTCTGTATTCTTTTAAGGAAGAAATCAATTTACTTTTAAGGACACTTGAATGGCTAGATGATCATTGGAAGCAACCTACAGTCAGTTTTGCTTCACGAATTCCAGAAGCATTTCCTCTATCTGATGCAATTTCTCTATTATCTCCAATGAACACTTTGCGTTCATCACTTCACATACTTTTTGAATATTCTCACAAAAGAAAATCTGATATTGAAGAACAAAGTCATACTCAAGATTTTCAGGGTTTTTTTTATATTTATTTTAAAATTTTTATATATTTTTTTAGCTTTTCTTGCTCGAAATAAATATTTGGCTAAAAACAATGAAATTTATTTATTAACAAATCACCGCATTGGTACCTTAAATTTATGGCGGATACAAATAGAAAATACTCCAAATGAAACTGTCATCCAACACCAAAATATTCCAATTGCTGCTTCTGTTACAAACGTTGTACATGGATATCGGATATGCAAACCTTCCAATGAACCAACAAATTTGGAAATTCATAAAAGTGAAGGACTTTTCGATGCTGCTTGTCTTTCTACTCCTCTCCTTCCTCAATATCATCCAACTCAACTTGTTGGAATGCTTAATGCTGGAAAGATACAAAGAGTCCGTGCTATACTTTTGAATGTTTTACACGCATTACGAGCAAATAAACAGGTTTTTTATACGATTTATGATTCGTTTTGATAATCATCCTTATATCAATTTGGGATTTTTCGGTACTTTATGGATATATCACCCCCCCTCCTATTTTGAGTCTCAGAGTTTTCCTTAAACGTAGAAAATGGTCAGAGATTATTTTCTTCTCCATGTCAATCATTTTTCTTTCTTCAAGAAAAATAAGTGAAATATGGTAAATGCAGAAACGAAATAAGTGAAATGTAAGTACAAAATATGTGAAAAGGCAAAATAAACAAGCAAAATACTTGAAGAAGAAAAAAATGATTGACATGGAGAAGAAAATAATCTCTGACCATTCTCTACGTTTAAGGAAAACTCTGAGACTCAAAATAGGAGGGGGGTGACATATCCATAAAGTACCGATTTTTCATACGTCGCCTTCCCTAGTTATCACTTAATTTTAAAGTCATATCTAGTTTACATTAACATTTATTTTTCAGGTCCGTAAACTGTCTTCAGTTCGTCGGTATTCTTTCGGTCGCCAATCTTCTGTAGTAAAGCGACAAACTATTGATTATGATTTTGATCCGGATGTCAAACAGAGACGAAATAGTATTTCTGCTCGATCTTCTTTCAACAATAACGTCATGGAACAAAATCAAGTTGATTCAATTCCTTCTCTTCCTTTGTATGCTTTGTTGTTAGCTGATGAAGTTTCAGAAAATGTGACAAATTCTCAACAAAGCCAACTTGTTACAAGAAGTTCTTTCGATAAAAAGGAGGTTCTATTTGCCTAGAATATATGTATAATTTTTCTCTTCAAGGAAACAAATGTTTATGATTCACTTTTCGCTCGAAGCATTACTGAAGAAGAAAACTTTAAATTTGATGAGGACGATTTTGATGATCAATCAGACGATGAAAGGAAAAATTCAGTCAGTCGTAGCCGAAAATTTTCTATCGGAAGTTTAAATGAGGCTAGCTTTTTGGTTTTAACAAATCCAGGTTCTCCACCTGCCGCCAAATTTACTGCTAATCACGCAAGATACTTGACTGATATTCTTACTCACACTCATTTACATGGTTCTTATATTTTATTTTTCTTCTAGCCTCTTCCTTTGCAGGTCTATCCAACACAGATCAAATGCATTTATTAGCTGTAGCGGATACGATAAGTCATTTTTCCAGTTCGGCAGTTGACAGATTGGCACATGCAAACGTTATGTTTGAACAAGAATCGTCAGCTAATGATAAGAACGAACAAACCAGTTTTGCTTACACTACTGGAATGGAAACTGTAGACGAATGTGGTTTGAGGTTTTTAATGGCTAAAAAGCAGTATGAATATTTACTTCGTTGTTTACCGCTTAAGCAAAGAAAACAGCTGAAAACAAAGTTTGTTTTATTTTTTATTTATTAGAAAATTTAACGTTTTTAAGTGGAATTTCTTCTGCATATGTAATTTGGGCATTCCATTCTGATACTGAAGCTGAATTGCTTAGTTCAATTCCTTGTGTTCAACGTCAACAAGAAAACTGGGATGAAATGCGTTCTTATGGTGTTGCTTGGTGGTTGAGGAACGTTGCCTCACTTCGAACTTGTATTGAAAGAGTTGCGAAGAATATCTTTCAAAAAGATCAAAATCCTTTGGATGCTGCTTTATTTTATTTGGCCATGAGGAAAAAGAATGTCTTGACACAACTCTTTAAGGTTTTTACAATTTTTTATCAAATTTTGAGATTCAAATATTTTAGACTGTTAATGACACACGAATGTATGAATTCTTTAGGGAAGATTTTACTCAAGAAAAATGGAAGAAGGCTTCGCTTAAAAATGCTTTTATTTTAATGAGCAAACAACGCTTCCATGTAATTTATAATTTTATTTTTAGTTTATTCGTAATATTTTTTAGCATGCCGCAGCATTTTTCCTCTTGGCAGGGTCAATTAAAGATGCTCTTCAGGTTTTTGATTTTATATAAAAATATGGATTTTCTACTTTAAAGATAATCTTGGCTAGAATTCACGATTTACAGTTAGCTATAGTAATTTTGCGTTTATATGAAGTTGAAGCTGAAGCACAATTTGAACTTCTTTCAGAACTTCTTTGTAAAGAGGTACTTGGATGTGAAGTAGAACACTTTAGACAATTGATAAAAAATTATGAGAGTAAGAAAACTGTTGAACCAATTACTTTTCCAAATGCAAGAGGGTTTCATTTAACGTGTTTTATTTTATATATTTTTATTTTTAGAGATCCTTTTGAGCGGTCAATGTCTCTTTGGATAATGAATGAATATGTCTTTTCTGTTGAAACATTTCTTGAGGAGGCAAATGATCCTAAGAGGATTAAAGATCGTGAAATAAAAATGGAAAGGACTAATAGCGATGATACTTTGGTTTTTACATTATTATATTTTTAAATTATTTTCATTTAAGAGACATTTTGAACCATCATTCCCGGATATATTCAATTTTTATTCATTTTTGAGGAGACATCCACTAGTGGTAAAGTAGAATATTGTGTAAAAATAAAATTAGAATCTTTTTAAAGATTCGCCAAAAATTAACACGTGCCGGTATTGCAATGACTACAACAGAACATTTTCTTACATGGACGCGCAGAATTGGTTCTAGGCTTAGCGATAGTGAAAAACGTCTTTATTTGAGAACGGCAAATGCTCATCTAGATTCTGGTTGTCCGCTTTTATCGCTTGATGTCCTTACTTCTTTGCCTAAACAATTTGGGCAAGAGGCGGAATTAGAAGTAATACTGCCTGATGTGAATAAACCCTCTCTTGATGAACAGGTTTTTTAAATAAAAAATAAATAGTAAATTTATTTGAAATTTTAGATTGATTGGTCTATGCCTGTTTCATCTAAATTAAATCAGGAAGAACCATTTACTTCAACTAACAATAAGCCTGAAATTAATGGAAATTCACTTTCGAAAGATTTAATTACAAAACATGAATTATCAACTTTAGATTGTTCATCTGAATTACAAGATTTGAAATTATTTTCGACGTTGAGTATAATGACTGATGAACTAACAACATTAGCCAATGGAGATTATGAAATTCCTGGAGGTCAACTTCGTTTAAAGCTTTATTGTTGGTTGGAAAGGGAATGTGAAGTTCTTAAAAATATTTGCTATTCGCAAGAAGATGATTTTGAAGATGAAGTGAACGAAGATGAGGAAAACAGCCAATGTTCATCAAATATTATAAAGTATGTTAAATAAATATTCGAGCCAACTTTGAAATTGCTCATACTTTTAAATATTCTATAAATGTTAGAAAAATATAAGAAAATTTTTATGTAAGCTCTAAATGGTTTAAGTTGTTGTCAAGTACTTACCACCATTCCTTGATGATTTTTGAGATTTGAGAAATCAATAAAAATTTATAATTTCCTAACATACTTTAAGTGATGAAGAGCCGACAAGTTCGATTATTAGAGGAGCAGAGGAAGAATTACCGCCTCTTCATGAGGCATTAGAACAAGACAGAATCGAATTAAAAGAACGTAAATCAAAAGCATTGAAACGAAGACTATGGTTAAAAAGACACCAAAAAATTTTACATTCTTTGGCTGCATATTGTGCCTTACACGGTAGCAGAAATATTCGTCTTATTGCGGTACAAATGGAATTGCTTTTGCTTTTAATGGAAGCTCAAAGAGATAAGGAAGGTATCAGAGAAATAATTAAAATATTTTTAAAATTTCTAATTATAGTATCAGATATTAGAACTTTTCCTTTACTTGCTGCATCACTTTCACCCAACGTTAACTCACCCATTTCTCCACTTCGTTTCATGTCTGAACAATGCGCTTCGTTGCTCTCTGCAATAAATCAGTTTGATAAAATTCCTCAAATTGATACTGATGTTTCTAAAGTATTTATTGCTTCTTTAAATTTTTTAAACTTTTTTAAGGTTATGAAACTATTTTCACTTTGCCAAGGACTTTCATTTTGTGTCTACCAGTCTCTTTCAAATATTGAATTATTTAATCAATTTCGACTATCTCCTCAAACGTTTTCTGGGTATATCTACAAAAATTAAAATACTTTTTTTGTTATCCCGCCCCTTTTTAATTTTGACATTAGAGATTAATTTTTAATTTTTAGAATAAATAATTGGGCGGGATATTTAAAAGTACCAAAATTAATAAATGAAGAAATACATGGCTTTTAATTTTCAGTCCACTAACACAACCTATTCGACGAACTAGTGTTTCAGTTACTGCAACTGATGAATTAGATGTTCGTAGTCAACCACAACATTGGCCTGGCGTTGATAGTTTAATTAAACTTTTAAATCGAGAAAGTTTGCTGGACAACACTCCTCCAAATTTACGTCTTCTACTTGTTGAATTCTTTTCAACGATTTTTCTTTCAACATTCCTTTATGCTTTCACTTTTTACGACTCTAGACTACTTTATCGTTTGGCCGCGCATCCTATTGGTAATCAAATGTTTGGAGAGATTTTTGGTGGTGGTGGAGAACATAAACTAAAAAGTGCCATTCCAGTACGTCCACCACGTAACTTTAAAATTAATTTTATCTAAAAAATAATTATATATTTTAGCCCCAAGAATTGGTGAAAGAACTGAAAGTAATTCTCAACTTCAACAACAAAATTCTAATCAAGTTGAGGAAATAGCTTTAATGAGAGCAAAATTACATGCTAAAGTAACTTTTAAAAACCCTTTCATTTATAATTCTGTTTTTAAAGGTATTTGCTCCCTCATCTAAAGCTATAATTAACCAGAAGTTACCCTCCAAAACTCATCAAGGTGCTTCAGAACAAATTATTCAATGTTGGATTCCCCCAAGAAAACACATTTTACAATATTTTACAGATAAAGTTAGATTAAAATATTAAATAAATTTGATTAATAAATTTAAATTATAAAGGTATTAAGTAGCCAAATAGGAACAGTTGCAGATGCTATTTTTGATGATTATGATTCTGACCAAGAATCAAATGAAGAAAAGGAAGTAGATGAAACTACAACTGACTATTTTAAATTCCAAAGTGATTTGGATGAATTGTCTTTAAATAAAGAAAGAATATATCCACATTGTTGTCATGAAAGTTATGCATGGCAATTAATTCGTTTAGCACTTTTAAGGCTTATAATTTCTAAAATTGAATGTTTTGTCGAGCTTGCTGGTTTTGATTTGAGAGGTTAGAAATGAAAGTAAATTATGTATTTAAAATGTTAATCTTTACAGAAGTTGCTAGAAGATTTCCAAAATTAGAACAGTCGATTACATGTCTTAATTTATGGGCTGCACAAATTGAAGCAAAGCTTGGAACAGATTTAACTGAATGTCCTCCTGATTTTTTGCCAAATATGCATGTTCAAGTAGGGGTTTTTGAATATTTCTAAACAGAGATGATTGATTTTATGACTATGAATTTTTTCAAATTCTTTTAACTCTTTCTCTATTAAGGAACTTTCTGACGGTGAACAACATCAGAATCACGGGAAAACTGTTGCTGCAACACCAACACTAAATAAATACCACAATTTATTGTTAGAACATGGAAACACTCCATTTGAATATGATGAAACTGGTGTAAAGCCTGTTAGACGTTTATGGATTCAACTTGTTCATCAAGAGAGTTTAATGCCTCTTTTTGTCCGTTTTATTTTTGGGAAAGTATGTTTGTTAGTTTATATTTATAAATATTTGTTTTTTCAAAGGAAAAAACAAAATCTCTAAGTTCGTTTACTGATGGAAGCGTCGAAAGTCGTTGTGGACGTCAAGCAGCCCCTAAAAATATTATCTCACAATTTCTTAAAATATTGAATTGATATACCTGTCTCTTGTCACTTTACCTATAAAATTAATTTCTTATATATTTTTCAGTTATATTAAAAAATTATGACAGTTAAAAATACATTCTTTTCAGAAATACACTTTGACGTTAAAAAGATATCCCTGCCTATATTTAGTTTTTAGGTTAATACTAAAACTTCTGTGGTTTTTCTGGGTTGAATTACCTCACAGTAAGGAATTTAAATCATGAAGAAGTCGTTAAATATAAGTTAAATTTTTGTAACAGACATGAAGTTTTAGATATCTATTGTAGTATACCAAGCACCTAACTTCGTTTCCCAGTGATTTTTAGAGTTCCATTATTCATTTATTGAAAGTCTAAGGTAAAAATTGAGTTAATCCAGTCTAGTAAAATACTAGGAATAAGATTAGGCATATCTTTTTAACGCGGAGTGTATAAATTATATAAAAATTAACCTCAAATACTTAATATTATACTATTTTACATTCACTTTTATTATAGAAGAAATATACATGGTACATTTGTAATTAAATAATACGGAGAGATTTTTATTTGTTAAATTTTTAACAATATTAAAATATAAATTTAGCTATATTTTTTAATAAATTCAAAGTCATAAATTAAAATAAAAGTTAAATTACATTTAATTTGTTTTATTAAAACTAACAATTGTAACACAAAAATGAAAAAATAGGTGAATATCTTTTGTGTTTTAACCCTTTTCATTTGGAAATCTGGCAATCGTTTGATTCTGAATTGACCGTAATTTTTCTGTCCATTCCTGAAAGAATATTCAAAATTAAATTTTCCTTCTAAAAAAGTACTATTTAATTAACTTACCAAAGTTAATTGTGAAGTCAATGAATCTATTAATCTGCATATACTTTCATTGTAAACACTTAAAGGTTCTGCATTTGTTGTCTTATAAAGAGCTGGGACGCGTCTTGTTTTTTCATGTCCCAAAAATTCTCGATATCTCCTCATTTCATCTGTTAAATCATCCAATCTCCGATTTATAGCTTCTAGACTTTTACGGGAATTGTCGCATTCCTATAGATTTTTATTTTAAGAAAAATATGTAAAGGTTTATTAAAAAAGAGTAAGTAAATCTTAGTGAAAATTCAATTTTTGTCTCGTTAAGCAAAATTTCTATTGTTTTGCCTTTATCGAATAAAAATTTAATTTCCTTTAAGCAGCTAGTAAAATGAATTTAATATACAGTAATCGAAACAATCAAGGGGAAATTCGTATTTGTTTTAAGGTTGTTAAAACGTCACGAATCCTTATTTTAAATAATAATCAAGCAATTTACTATAGATAACTTTATCAATCAACTAACTTTTGTGATCCTATCAATTTGTTTTATCTGTTCCTCAATTGTCTGAGTGCCTGTTGGACCATTGCATAATGGAAGTTGACCACTACTGCTAGATGGACCGACAGATGTAGAAGCACCATAATTTGTGGCAAGTGCACCACTACCAGCAGCAGTTGCTCTTACACCACTACTGCTTGAACCTGGCATTGGTTGGATATTGCTTTCAGTTATTCCTCTCTCGTGTTGCTCTCTTTGTCGTGCAAGAATGCACTCCTCACAAGCACAGGCTTTAGTGCTGCTGATGGCGTTTAGTCTATCCAGTTCGAGCCTAGAAGTTTGCACAAATAATGGAGGAGATTCTTGTTTAGTGGGTGTTGGTGGAACCTTTTTAAAGAAGAAAAATACGAGAATATTTTTTGAGATGTCTAAACACGTAGACAATTATTTCCACAAAATTATACAAAAAATCAAACCGAAGGGGAAACAATTCGGCTATCAGTGTTTCGCTGTTTTAACGTTTCTTCAGTACTACAACTACTGCTAACAATAGTAGTTGTTCTCTTGCAGCAACAATTTCCACAATTAGAGCTGCAACAACAAGATGAAGTATTAGAAGAACAACTTTTTAATTCTTTAACAATAATTTTCTCTTCAAAAAATAATTTTTGTTCTTCAGAAACTTCAACGTTTTCTAGCAAGCTATTCAATGATGATTGAAGAGAATGTGTTCCTTTACCACAACTTTGCGCACTGTAAAAGCTATTTGTATTAGTACTTTCTTGACTGTCGCTGCTGTTGACACTTCGACAAATTGGTGGAGAATTGGCAATTATTAAAGAGGGAGAAGGCTCGTTTGAGGGGTTTTTGTGGGACAGATTGTTGTGTTTAATTTGGTGGAGATTTGATAATTCTTTAGAATATTTATCGAATAGGTAGTCAAATAAATATTTATATATTTAAATGATTGATTAGTTGACAGCTGGCATTGTTAACTATTACTAAAAGAAAAAAAATAATTATTGTTATTTTGTGACAATCGTCGATAATTTTTTATTGTTTTAAAGAACAAAACTATTGGAAGAATAAGTAGTTGTAAATGTAAATATTTAGGGTGAATATCCCTCATATACAATATTAGGGTTGGGAGCCCGATTCGGTCCAGTCCGAAAGATCGAGTTGGGCTTCGAATTTTTGCCCGTAAAAGGCCCCGAAAAATGACTCGAACGTCGGCCTGACTCTAAAACCCCAACCCTATACAATATACATCCCCTATTAAACCCAACTTATGAGACTTCTGTATAGTTAATTAGCATTAACTCAAAGAATTTCAAAAATTAATGCCAAATTCAATAAATTTTCATTAATGGCCACAGAATTTTCTCTGTAAATATATAAATCCATTTTTGCCATAATGGGAAAATAAAATGTATAATGGAGAAATGGTTTATATTTTTGCTTTTACTAGAAAAGTCAATGTGAAAGAATTTAAGAGAAAAAAGTGAATGACTTGGAGAGGAAAGCTTAAAAAGCTGAAAGAAAAAAATATGTCCCTCATTGGAAAAAGCCACAAAATGCATAAAACTGCGACGGCGCAAATAGCAAGACAAAAGAAAAATAGGCGAGATGGAAAGAAAACTAAAAAAAGGGGAAGGGATTTTGTGGCTTTATACCGCTTTAAAAGTCAATGGGAGTTGAAACATAGGTTTAAAGAAGGGAAGGGAGTAGTTAGTTATAAAACAGAAATAAAAAAAAGATTTTGAAATATTGAGAGGGGGTATTTCACTTAATAGACAATTTGTCGAATAAAGATTTGTAGAAAGACATGGAAGTATATTTTTGGTAATAAAAAGAGGAAATCAAAATTAATTTATTTGAACTGTTTATCAGTTAAGACAGTTATTTAACTATTCAGTAAGTGCTACAACATGAGATAAGGAAGTAAAAAAAGAGAAAGGAAAGAAAAAGTAGTGGAGATTAACTATTCTCGTCTTCTTCCGTTTTAAATCCACTCCAGATTCTTTATATATTCTTTGACTGAGAGAAGAAATAAATAGTATGCATAATATGTAGCTACCCAATATATATTTTTGGCAAGTATTTTGACTTTGAGAAAAAAAGCTATCGGGAATTTGCTGCTATTTTTTCACTACTGACACCCTAAAAATTTTGCTAGTACTCGCTTTCCTTTGGCATTTTTCTAGTCCTGTATAGGAGATATTCAGAGGAGGTATGTACAAAAAAGGTTTCGTTCTTCTGTTATTTTTTTCTTCTTCAACAAACATTATTTTTCTTTTTTTTTCTTTTTAAAATTGTAAAAATAATTTACAATTAAATGATACATACATATCTATAAAATAATTAATAAAAATAACAATTATAAGTAAATAATATAGAATTGTGAATTTAGCTATTTTTTAAATTTTTGGTTAGATGGAAAATCTCTTTCGTCCTTTAGTTTAAAATTTTCAATTTATTATCATCTATAATGATGATTTATTATCATCAACATTATCAATTAATAAAATAAAACAATTGGTTAGAATTAGAGATCGGACCGATTCTTGTACGACCTTCCAGTCTGATCTCCAGCTAGAATATATAAATTAAATGCAAATTATGCAATAAATAAAAAATTACAAATACATTCTAAATGAGAAAATGATGTTATTTATTTAAGAACAGAGGATTTGAAAGGCGATATTATTATAAAGCTTAAACCTTTACAAAAAAATAAAAAAAAATAACGCCGCCAGGCAACAGCTTATTTTAAAAGCTTTATTTGAGGGAAAAGAAAAAAGGAAATGAAAAAACGAGAAAATAAAATAAATAAAAAAATAAATATTAAAAAAGAAAAAGGCATAAATAAATTGATTGGAAATAAAATAAATAAATAATGTAAAAAAAATTTTTCGAAAGATAATTTTATTTATTTTTGTTGCCTTTTTAAGTTAATTTATGAAAGAAAGAGTTGGAAATAATAAATGGAAATAAAATGTTGTTACATATTTTAAAAAATATTAAAAATTAAATTAATTTTTTTCTAAATAGTAGTTACCGTAAATGTTTAAATAATTAGCCTCTCTTAAATAAATACTTTAAAAATATTTAAAAATTATAATAAAATTTAATTATTGGAACATTTTAAGATCTAATATAAAAAAATAAATCAATTTCCGCCTCAATTAAATAAAAATATATCCCAAATCCAGCACATTCTCCCTAATAATTGCCCCTTCCAACGAGAGATTGAAAAAATAATTACCCAGGTAATTAGTTCAGCATTTACGGTAAATAAGTACAAACTGTACTTAATTATTTACAATCATCATTATTTTAACAAATTATTCTCGTTTTTAAAAAAATGTGTGAAAGGCTTATATAAATATTTTAATTAGGAGAAGAAATATAAAAATACTTGTAGATTAATTGGCTTTTATTTTTTAGATAAACATAAATATTATTTAATAGACAAAAAACAATATAAAAACTTAATTGTTTAGATAAAGTATTGGCTAAAAATAAAATAAAAAAATTTAAAAGAGTTTTTAAAATATTTTAGAACATTTAATAAATTCTTTAAAATAAAAGGAAATTTAAAAGAATTGTCAAGACAATTGCAAACTTTTTTGGCCTTAAATCTTTTATTTTTATTTTTAATTTGTTTCATTCATTGCTTAGAAAACTCCTTAAAAGCTTTTTAAATATAAAAATAATTTTTTAAAAGCTTAAATATTTTTTAGTTCTGAACATTAAAAAATTGTTAATAATAATAATTTTTATGGAATATTTTTAAAAATTAAATTATTATTATTATTATTATTATTCAATTTAATTTTTATATTTAAATGAGTAAAAAATCATTTACCTAGTGGATATATAAATATGTACATATTTCCCAATATCACCGCCGATCTCTAGCTATTTATAAAAATTTTTTATATTCCATATCTTTTTGCAAATATTTTTTCGAACCTCAAAAATCAATCAAAAACGTGTAAAGATTTACAGAGGCGGAAATTAACTTAAGACCGGTATAAATTGTTATGTAATTCCTTTCATCCTTGTTTTTTTTAAATATTAAGATCTGCCAGATCGGATAAGGATGAAAGGAATTACATAACAATTTATACCGGTCTTAAGTTTAGTTCCGCCACTGTAAATATTAAACGATTTCATTTAGTAATTTATTTTCTAAAACTTCAATCTCCATATTTCTTTTATAACACAATATTTTAAACTTTACAATATTTTTTTAATTTTTAATTTCGACTAAATTTTTTTTTCTTATTTTCAAATTCTTAATTTGTAAGGGTCACTAATTCCATTTTTTACTATTTTATTAGAAAAATTTCTTTAAAAGATAAGTCCTTCAATTTTATAGGAGAAGCCTTCTTTTGGCATTTTTCTTTCTCCAAATGGATATTTTCTTTAAATTATTTTTATTTTCTTTTTGGCCTTGGCATTTTTTTTTCTGTTTTTTTTCTTCAATATACTCTCGCTTTTTTTGCCATTTTTTCTTCTTTTCTCAACCACTTGTCCCTTCAATAGAGGAAAGATTCTCTGTGTAATTATGAAAATTTTGTTTAGTCGGGAATATAAGCATTTTCTTCTTCTCTCGCTCTTGTCGGCACTCTTTTTTTTCTATTTTTTTAAGTAAGGGAAAGAGTAAAAAGTCGGGAGTTAGCCTCCTTTCCTTCCAAAAATACAAGGAAGGATTTTTGGCTTTTCCCGTTTTTGCTTGCTTACTTTTTTTTGTCCACTAAACTCTAAACATAGTCCACTCATTTGTCTATTGTATGGGAGTGAGAAAAGGACTTGGAAATGAGCTTTTCCTTATTTTCTAGTTAATATATTTAATTTAAAAAGAAATTTTTATTTAAAAGTTTATCACTTTTTTAATTTAAAAAAATTTAATTTAAATATTCTGACGCCTTAAACCTCAAAACTTTTTTACATCAAGTATATCAAGTTTTTGATATACCCTTCCCTCACAATTCTTTTAGCTCGAAACAAATACATTTTTTATATGAATTTACAATAATTTAATTGTAAAAAAAATATAAATAATTAATTTTTACAACTTTGCGCATTTATTATTCTTTTTTTATTCTTTTTTCCCTTTCTCTCCTCTTCACTTTTATATTTTTTAAGCTTGCTCATCTGGCTCTCATTTTCTTAAATAATAAATAAATATATCAATATTCCTGTAAAAATAACCCAATGCAGCTGGCAAAATGGACATTAAAATATATATAAATTTGAAAGGAAACAAAAGCATCCTTTTATTTTTTTAAAATAAATTTATACTTTCTTATTAGCTGGTCTATTAATTTAAAAATTACTTAGAAATATTTAATTTTATAAAAGTTATTTAATTATTTTCCTTATTACGTATATGCTCGAATGATTACCCGGGGTAATTATTGTTTCGCACTCTTGCTGGAGGGAGTAATTAATTGAGAGGATGGGCTAATATTGGGGTATATCTCAATAAATCGAGGAGGAAATCCATTTTTGATATTGATTCTTATAATGTTTCAATAATTAAAATTGACAATGATTTTTTCAACATTTTTAAAATTAGAGAAGGAAAGGGAGGGAGTAATCATTAAAGAGGGTAATTATTCGATCATTTACGGTTATTTTGGCGATTAGAACAAAAAAAAACTACATAATTTTATTTTTCTAATCTTTTATCTAAAGTTGTAAAAATTAAAACCGTCTTATTTATTAAATACATTTAATCAAAAATCAAAAATTTAAAAGAAAACCAAACTAAAAATAATTTAAATTACAAATAAAAAAAGGAGGGAAAAAAATTTTTTGTTTAAAACTAGGTCAATCCCTCATTCATTCATTATTTTATTTACCTCTGTTCCTTGCGTAATCAGCTTTTCTTCTCCCTCCATCATTTTTAGATGTTCAAAATAAATAAATCCTTCTGCCGCCGTTCTTTCCTTTACTTTTTTCAAAAAGTTTAAAAATATTTAAAAATAATTTTTATTTGTAAAGAATTACAAGAGAAATTTTACTAAATTTTTAAACATTTTTTTAAATTTACAATATGTATTTGTGTGTCTACATCTTTATTAAGTTTAAAAATGTTTGAGGGGATTTATTTATTTCCTAATTTTTATCGTTTCCGGCTTAACGTTCTTTCTCAAAAACCTTTTAGTTTTATATGAATAAAAAGAACTTTAATTTTCTTTAACTAAAATTTCTTATTATTTTTTATTTTCTCTTTTTAATTTTTGTATTAGACAAATATTTCTTTAATAAATTTATTTTTTTGTCCCCTTCTAATAATTAATTTAATAATTAGATATTTAAATATTCTTCATTAAAAATCTCTTGGGGTCATCAAAATGACACATTTGATTATATCTGCATTTATTCCTATTTTTCTGGACATTAAACAATCTAATTGGCCATAATTTTAAAAATCCCTTCCAAATTTTTTTCCAATTTTTAACTTGGCTCTCTTTACATTCATTATATTTACTTTTCCTTTTTTCATTAATTTTCGAAGTGGACAAAAGGATAATAACTCCTCTTTTTTCACTTTTCTCGAAGGGGGAGGGGGTAAAAAGTACAAAGAAGAAGAAGAGGTCATTGCTTTTTTTAACATTTTTCACGCCCTTTGGTTTTTGTCCCCTTATACTTTGTCCCTAATAAATATTTACCTCTTCTACATATATTTACTTTTAAAATAATGAGAGAATATCCAAGTCGGAGAAATGTCAAAAAAAAGAATAAACAGGCGCTTCTCTCTTAATATTTTATTAAAAACTTTCAACTATTGACCATTCAACCCTTAGGGATTGCTTCTTCCAATTTGTGCTTGCAATTCGAGACTTTTTATTTATCAAATAGTTTCTAAATTAAAAGTTTTTTAAATTTATTTTTAAATTTATTTACTGCGCATTTATTTGACATACTCGTTTCGAACTTGGAGGAGACTTTAAACTAGCCTTTGGCCAATTCCACATTCTTCTCCCCCTTTAATCCAAAAAGTATTGCGCATCCTTTAAGGGAGAGAAAACTCTTCTTTTCTAAGCATTTCTCTGCTTGAATAAAATTCCCAGGCTTTAGGCCAAACACTAATCCTGTTATTTTCTAGTTGAGTTATTTTGGTTTCTAAATTTTCCTGTTTATTATTGAAAATATTGGAATATTGGATGTCAGATTTTTATAAAATTGGCACTTGGAATATGCAAATATATTTTTAAATTTAAGTTGTATTTATTGAATATCACTAAAAGCCACTTCTTTTTAAATTTTCAGAAATTTCACTTTTAATTTTAATTTAGTGGATAAAAATTCTAAAAAAATAAGGATGTTAAACTGATCCACTTTAATATTATTACAAGAATTTATTGTTCTATATAGGTCTTCCAAAAGCTCACCTCTTAATTCCAACAGCAATTTTTTGTCATTTTCTTGTTTCATTTCAATCCCATTTTAATGACCTCCAATCTAGGGTTTATTACTTAAAGTCTTAAATATTGTCTAGACCTATTTTCTTCTTTAATTTTATTGTTTACTTTCGCTATTACCTGTTTTTTTAAAAAGATTGAAAAATATTTTTATCCCTTATCGTTTTTTTCTGTTGGTCAGCATTGGCTACATTTTTCACACAAACAAAACTAAAATAATATTTTACCTCTCTTGCTGTTTCAAACTCTTAAAAATTGGAAACAAAAGCTTTTTACTCTTCTCTATTTATTTACATTTTTAGAAATCCCCCTTTTTATTTTTAGAATTTTCCCATAAAATAAATAAATATTCTCTCTTTTTTTGAAATTTTAGAAATTAAATCTTTGGTTATTTTTGAAAAAAAAATATTTTAAACTTTTTATTTTTCAGATTCAATTTTTAATAATTAAATATTAAATTGACAACATTTAAATAAAAAAATTAAAAGTAATGCCTAAATTCTTTTTCCAAATTAGTCCAAATTCCTTATTATCGGTAACTTGATTATTCTTTGTATAATCCCCTTCAATAATCTTCTCTCACAGATTTGGTACTGCATAATTTGTTCACTTCTCCAAGGCTGGCTTATTTTTCTTGGATTTGAACGTTATCGTTTATATACAGAAATACAATGGCCGACAGGCTCATTTCCACGTTTATGGCTAACAATATTTATTTCTGTTTTGGGGGCCTGTATACCTTTAATTGCTCTTTTCCTCGTCTCTAGCCTGATTAAAGTTGGAAATTTGGCAAATGATAATGACAAATTGGGGGCACGTCCGAGGAGAGTAATTGAACTTGTTAAAGGAGGAAAGGGGCAGAATGCACAACGAAAAAGGAGAAAATTTTGTAGGTTTTTTTGTTGAAGTGAAGGGGATTGTAGAAGAAATTGAAATGTATGAAACCTTTTCAATTATGATAAATTCTGTCACCTTTTGGTTAAAATTTAATTAAACTTCTTTCTCTTTTAGCATATCGCCTTTGCCATTGTATACGTTCTATATGGACTCACGGACCTCCTCCAGCACAGTCTTTACATTTACTTATTGCTTTATTACAATTATTTGCACATCAAACAATGCTTGCACAATTGTATCGTTATGGTTTTATAAATTCTGGTAAGTTTAATTTTTTAATAGAGTGGAAAATATTTTATTAGAGGAAAGAGTATATTAAAATTTAAAAAAAATTAAATAATTAAATGGTGCTTCGAAGTGCCATTTACTTTTATTTCCCTAAATACTAAAAAAGTAAATTAATTATAAACTTTAAATTCCTTTACATGCTTTTTAAAATAAAAATATGTGGAGGGAGTTACAACTCTCCCTCAGATTGCAACATAAATTAAAAGTGACAAATACTTTTTATAAAAAATTGAAAGTTTTGGGGGAGCAAGTAAATAAGATTTAAAATTTATTGGTATAATAAAATAAATATGAAAAGAAAAAATTTTCTTTGTCTTTTTTAAATTAATTTTAAAATTAGATAACAAAATTCTTTTTAAGGAGATTTTTTAAATTCTGAATTTGATTTTGCTTTCCAAAGAGCACGCCAACTTGCTACAAACCTTCCAATGGGGGAAACAAGACTTCAATCATTTAAAATAACTTCAGACGAATTATCAGCTTCTCCTTTAGCACCAAATCTTTTGCCAAGTTGAAAAATAAATTTATTTATTCTTTAAATAAAATAATTTAAAGTTTTGATGCATGCCCGTTTATTTGGAATTCCTTTAGAATTTACAAATCTTCTCGTAGCATTAATTGCTTTCTCAACAACATATCCAGCTGTATTTTGGAGGGCTAGCCGAGCATTTTCAATACTTTTTTCAATCTTTTTGTTCGTTCAAAGTGCAAATATTATGTGGACATATTTTGGATTTTCTATTTTATTTAGAATTCAAGAAACTAATTTTTATGGGCCGAGACCTGTGGGAATTGGTTTGTTTATATATTAATTAAGTGGATTGGGAGGTGGGTCGGAATTCCGATTTCCGATTTTCGACGTTTTTTCCTTCCGATTTCCAATTTCCGAAAAAATTTTTATTTCCGATTTCCGAGTTCCTACTTTTGAGCCAGTTTCGATTTCCAGCTCTTCCTATTTCCGATACCTCTGACTGTTCCGACCCACTTCTGGATTGGAGCTCCAAAGTTGTCTCTTTTCTTTGTCACAACAAAAAATCTTCAGGTCTGAATCCCAACTAAACCTGAATCGTTAAATCGGTTCTGATCAAACCTGAATCGCCCCACTTTTCTTTATTTCCATATGTTTATTATTTTTCTTTATATTAGTTTTTAAATTAAATATTAATTATTTTAGGTCAACATTTATGGGCACTTCGTTCACTTCCTTTTCTCTTCCATCCTCTAGCATTAATAGTAACTTTCTGGCTTGTTTTAGCATTAATGCAATTAGCACCTATAGCCCTATATTCTTTTGGTTATGCTAAATTTACTTCAAGTCAATCAAAATTGAGACATTTAAATCGTTGTCGACGTTCAAATCCTTCTTTTGGAAGGTCTCCACAAATAAAAACAAATTATGAACCTTGTGTACAAGCTGAAGATATTGTTATTTCTTCAACTTTTTGTGATGGATTAACACCACACGTTTTTTCTATTACTTTATTGTTGTTGGTAGCAGCCGTGAAAGCGCCTGCCTTTTATGCTATAGGACTTTTATATTATGTAAATTTTTTTGTTAATTATAATGACGTTTTGATTGGTCAAATAAATTTTTTAGAAAGAAGAAAAACCTTTTCTTCTATGTTGTCTAATGGCTGATTTAGTTTACATGTTTGTTTGGGTATTGCTTTGGTGTATACTCACAATTAAATGTCTTTGGCCTTTCCGTGTTCATTACGAAGTTCAAGAATTAATTTCTCTCCAAGATGCGCATAAAATTTCTGATGGAAAGGATTGCGAGAAGAGAAGTCCGAACGAACTTAAAAATGCCCTTCTACTTGTGCATGGAGATAATGTAAATAATTGTTTTTGAAGGGAACGATAGATAGTAAATATTTGGGCTAAGTAAAGTTTAAGTATTGTCTCGAACAAATGGAGGAGACTAGTGAGAACTGATTAGGTTCGATGGGTGATTAAAGTTAAAAATGTGTTATCAAAAGGATTTTATTTATAGATGTTCCTCACAGACGATCCTGTAGCCAAACCTTCAATAATGCGTCAAGTAATAAATAATTGCTCTTCTAATGATTTTCCCCTTTGGCTCCGTTCTGGAGCTCAAATGGCACCTGCCATAACTACAACTGCTTCTACTTCACTTCCTGGAAGCTATTCACTTCAGAGGCGAACATTTACTTCTCAACATACCCCAGATTTAGGGCACAGACATCAACCTTTAAAACACTTCCAATCACTTCAACAACCACAACATTTTGGATTGGAACCGAGATCTCCTGATTCATCTCCAGTTCCATTGGCCGCTCCACCTTATCAACGAGTAGGAGGTTCCCTTCCGCCTTTGATTGGAGGGATTGATGAAGCAAGATTGATGAAGGAGCAAATGACGACAACAAATAATGCTGTTTGCAGTCTTCAGGTTGGAAAAAATTATTGGTGGTTTTGGCATTTTTGTTGAGGAATTTTTATTTAAATAGGTAAATTTGTCTGAAGTTTCAAACTTAATACTTGGGAAAGGTTCATTCCTAGGCTCCTATTGAACATTTCAAATAAAATTTCATAAAAATTTTTACATAGCAAAGGCAAAGAGACAACGAATATGCTACTTATAGGGCTTCATTATTACCACAACAAAATTATCTCCATTATCAAAACAATTCACAAAATCAACAACAAGGCACTTTAACTAGAAGTTTTAACAGTACTTCCCAACAGCCCCAACCTTCTCCAATGATTAATAGAGCAAATCTTCCAATAAATCCAAATATAAATAATAATTTACAATGCCCAACATCCACAGAAAGTTATGCTACAATACAAAGACGTTGTTCAAAAACAAGTATTGCATCCTCTGGATTAACTACAGCTGCACAACATATTCCTTCCTTAGTTAATAATTCCTCTTCGCCTAATCAAAATCGTTCTTCTAATCGTTCGAACTCTTTGGCACAAACAGAATATAAACAAAAACAACCAAATTTAAACGAACCACCACAAATTATGGCTGTTCTTAAACAACAAAATAACAATGAAAATGGATATAATACACAAAAAAGATATGGAACTTTAACTAAAAGAAATGGAGGAGGAGGGGGAGGAGATGTTGTTAATAATATCTTAAGAATTTATGATGGAGTACATCCTGTTAGTTTTTAAATTTTTAGTTAGGTTATACTTTGGGAGAATAACACGTAGACCCTCTTCCCCCGAAACTCCGACCCCCGATGAATTTTTAGTCAAAAACCCCGACCCAAACCCCGAAGGCTCTGCCACGGCAAACCCCGATCCCCGACGATCCCGCCCCCGAAGGCTCGGGGTGTTACTTTAGAGAATATTTATAATTAATTAAAAATATTTTCTTAAAGCAAAGAATAGCCCTCTCATTGAGTACAACAAATAATCAATCAACTATTGATAAAAACCAACAACAACCATATCAAAAACAAACACAAAGCACTTTAACTTTTGGGGATAATTGGCAATCTAAAATTGAAGCAACAGGGGGAGGATCTAGTTTGAATGGAACGGGGACTCCTTCTGGATCGGTAATTAATTATAGTTCTAAAATACATGAAATCATTCGCACTTTATATCACCACATTTTTATATCTCTACTTATCGCTACTTTTATTGCTAGAATGGAGAACAATAACAATTATAATTTCCCTAATCAAAAAATAACAATTTTTTTAGATAACATTAGGCAGCAGTAATAGCCGTGTTGGAAGTGCAGCAAGCAGTAGTACAACCTCTCAAGCAACATTTGAAGCAGTTGATGGATACAGAAATACTTCTTCGTTTGGAAATGATTATGGGACTTTAACTAGAAAAGAAATAAATAATGGAAATGAAATTAAACAAAAAGTAGGGGGAGGAGGAGGAGGAAATTTAGCTTTAGAAGCTGCCCAATGGAAAAGATCAAAACCTACAATTGTTACTAATAATAAAAATTCTGACTTTGCTACTAGTGTAGTATAATTGACTATTTTAAAAATTAATGACTATTTTAAAAATAAGACTGCGGGTATTTTTCATTTTTATAAATAAATAGTTGAGAATATAATTTGTATTAAAGATAAATATAACTAGATTTTTTAAAGACATTTTTCTCAACTCAAAATATTTTTTTAAATTTTAAGATCTCTTTTATTTCAACAAAATAATTTTATATTTTTTGTTAAATTAATTTTTGAATTTATTAAAACATTTTTTGATAGTAAAACATTAGTAGTATAGGTGTAGGTTGTGTTTAAATTTTTTACTACGTTTTTAAAACACTTTGGAAAAATTTTTCGAAAAGTTTAAAAAATGGAGAAAAACATAAATTTTTGAAAAATGACAGACCACTAAATAATTTACATTAAAAAGGAAAAAGAGTTGATAGATACTTGGAAATCTTCGGATATCCGGATCCTAAACCGATGTCCGAACCGAAGATTTCGGATATCCGGTCTTTTTGGATCAACCAACATTAATTAAAAATTAAAAAGAAAACAGAAATTTCAGAAAAGTTAAAAATAGGAAAAGTATTTTACAAATTACATGAGAAAAATAGGCGTATGTATTTCATTGAATAATTACTCTGGGTAAACTTTCGATATTGGGACAATTAATCGAGGAAAGGAAATTGATAGAGGTTATACAGTATTTATTCTTAAAAGTCATATTCACTTTTAATCCCTTTTTTCCAATAATTTTTCTAAAATGTCTGAATTTTTAAAGTGATTTACATCCATTGAATAATATTTAAGTTGGTGCGAAAGCATTAACCTTGTAGTATATTCATTTTCAATACTTCGATTAATTAAACGGAAACATTCATCCAATCGCTGAGCCCCTTCAATTGAACCTAATCTTTGTTGATTATATCGAAGTAAAATATTTGTGTATTTAACAGATTCGTTATAAAGTAATTCTTTTCCTTCAACAGACAAGCCCTCAGCATCTTTTTTGAAAAATTTTAAAAAATTGAAATGATAAGAGGCATGTTTAGGCGTGAGCGTATACCATACCATTAGCTCTACCATAGCCATAAATTAAAGTTTTTACCCGATTTTGTAAAAATAATAGCAATTAACAAAGCAAATTCAACGCTTGTTAATTTAGCACGTTTGAAGTGAACAACAGATTTTGTAAATGAATAATCTGCCCATTTGAGCATCCTAAAATTAAAAAAAATATTTCAATCAGAAATTTATTCAATCAGAAATTTGTTTAAATTATTTTACAAGGGATCGGCAAATTTTCACCCCTTTCGTTTTTTTGGATGGAATTTTTTTTGATCTAGTATGCACAATGTATGGCCAAAATAAAACGCTGTAAATTTGCCAGACCGTGTAGAATTTTATTAATAAAATTAGAATATCGAGTAAAATTATTAGAAAAATATTTACTTTTCATCATGCAAAAATAGATTATTATTCATAATAGCAACAGCAGGCCCAACACAATCTTTACGTGCCCAAGTTTCAAAACCTAATTCCCAAGCTAGGTAGGTGTTTGTAAATGAAATAAACAAATGACAAATCTGCCTTAGATGTGCAATCTATTTTATAAAAAAGAAAAATATAACTTTATCATACAAATCATCCAAAAATATACTCATGGTTAAAGAGCTTTCCGAATTAGTAAAAAACCCAAGGAAGGATAATTTTAGTTTTTTGTTTTCAACTAAGCTGAGAGGAAAGTTAGGCAAATACAAAATACCTATAAATTGCTCTAATTACCTGATCAGATAAAGTCAATTTTTCAAAAACAGGCAAAGATCTAGCTATACCAACACACACAAGTCTGTCAACTAAAAAATTTTTGTGCCAGCGTTTATTAAGCATTCCATTATTTTCTAAAAAAGCTTTCCAACTTTTTAATTCATTAAAAGGTATTGGAGGTGTGTTTGGCTTTAAAACAAAATTAATTTTTATTGAAAATTAAATTAAAATTTACTGAAAAAGTCCCAGTTAAACGAAAAATATTAAAATTAGATGAAATTATTTCTTCAAACAAAATCGGGCCTTTAAGGAATATATCATCCAAATCATTAAATGCATGCATAATACGTTTTTTAGCTTCAATGATTGGTAAAGTTGAGTTTATCTGTTGTAGATCTTTGATGGTTGTGTCAACAATTGGATGATTTGGAAGCTTAAAAAGTAGAGAGTAGATTAGACCCATTTAAAATCTATTAAATAATCTACATAGTTCGTTTACTCGGGTTTGAACAAATGGCTGCCGGGCAGTGATGGAGAAGTTCCAAGTTCCGGAACTGTAACCGTGGAACCGGTAAAGTGAATTAAGGGGAATATCGGTAATTTGGAAGGATTAAGGGCTCTAAGAGAAAAATTCACAATTTATTATTTAATTATAAAATTTGACCGAAAAAGTTCAAAATATGCACTGAACTATGCAAAATTCCCGTTTAAAAATAAAATAAATTTACGTTAATTTCATTTCTTTGTTCGTCCATTGCTTCCCGGCATACATCCTTCCGTAAATACCCAATATCTAAAATCACATTTTTAAAAATTATTTTTAAATATTTTGACAAACCCAATTTTTTCATTCCAACAGAAAAACATTTATCAAGTCTACAGCTTTTACATTTTTCCCAGGTTCTTTCAATTTTACTCTTTTCTAACAACAATTGTTTATGCAAACATTTACATTTAATATATTTACTCTTTTTTTCGTTTTCAAGATAACGCCTTTTAAAAAAATTTTTCCAAATAAAACAAAATAAAAAATGCCTGAAAAAAGCCCCACAAGCCCTACATGTAATAACTCCATAATGAAAACAAACATTTTCTTTTGTTTCACAAACTTTGCATTGTCTAAAGGAACTTTCCATTTTTAAAATAAATTAGTATTTTTTCTACAAAAAATATAAATGAAAATAGGGTCACGTATAAATTAATTATTTTTGGTAGACCGTGGAGAAGAGGAAGGAGTGCTAGTTTTCACTCTAGGTAGATCATACTAACCCGGCTAGTCCCTCATCTCCTTCAACTGTCCAACCTTCGTATAAGTTATAACTTTTTATTTTGGATCTCGAAGTAAATCTCGGAGAGACAAAAATTTAAAAAACATATAAATAGTTTAATCAAAAAATATTATCTAGTAAAAAGTTTCCACACAGAAAAATTAATTTTATTATCATAAAAAATTGATAATAAATTATAGTTTGCATTAAATTTTAAAATAATTTTTTTTTTAAATATTTTATTAAATATAAAAAAAAATGTTGGCAAAATTGTTTGTATATTGAATTTAAAAAATTATGTGAATGACTTTGGTGTGACAGAATTCAATTTTTATCTTAGTTTTTAAAAGATTATCAGCTAAATAAACAAATTTTCTAAACAAAAATTAAAGAGAGATACTCGAAAATTAAAAGAATTAAACTTGACTTGACTAAATATACATATAATTTTAAAAAGAATGAGTGAATTTAATCGAACACCCCACAAAAAGTGAAGAAAATGTGAGTTGTACACTACATAAACTCATTTTATCTCAAAGAAAATTTTTTCTGTATAATGAGATAAAAACTATCTTATAGCAAATTTAAAGGGCATTCTGAAAAGTATCAAATAAAAATTTACCTCACCCTATAAGGGGTCGAAATATTTTTTAAATTCCTTTACTCCCGTTTTACGTTAATTTTCGGATTTCGAGATCTCGATGATGGGAGTACATAAGAACTTTATTTCTTTTGTATTTCTTTTCTATATTGGTAGATCTATCATTACACATACATATATTTTAAGATATTTCATGCGTTAAAATAAAATTTTAATAAAGGGGGGTTATTATTTATTAACATTAATTTTTTGGAAAAACGTCCAAAAAAGTCTTTAAAAATCAGAAATTTTTAATAATATTATTTAATATACATTACAACACTACTACAAAAATTTCAGAACAATCCGACAACGGGAAGATAGAGATACTCAAAAAATTCAAGGGGGTTATAATTTCTTAACACACTGTATTTCAATAAATATAAAAAAATTGTTGGCAAAACTGTTTGTATATTAAATTTAAAAAATTCTGTGAATGACTTTGGTGTGGCTGAATTTAATTTTTGTTTTAGTTTTAAAAAAATTATCAGCTAAATAAACAAATATTCTAAACAAAAATTAAAGAGAGATACTCGAAAATTAAAAGAAATTAGACTTGACTTGACTAAATATATAATTAATTTTAAAAAAGGACGAGTAAATTTAATCAATTTTCTTTTATCTTTCTGAAAATGAAAATTATATATAATAAAGAAAATTTTATTTAAATTAAAAAGAAAGTTAAATTAATTAAAATTAAATACACACAAAAAATTTAATTCAAAGAAAAATAATTCTGGCCTAACTGCACTTTAGTAAGTCATCTAAAAATAGATGATTTATATGTCATTCGAAAGAGCTCGGCGAGCTGAGTCGACGACACCAAAATCAGATCGATTGAATGATTATTAACAAAGTTATGACCAACTAAATCTTCGATGGAAAAACTGTTTTTGTGCTGTTACGGAGAACCGACGAGCAGCCTCGCTGCGGTCGTCGCGAGCTCTCACATAAGGCGTCCGCCTCAGCTCGACGAGCTCTTTCGAATGACATAAATAATCTATTTTTAGATCACATTACTAAAGTGCACTTTAGCCAAATATTCTATATAATATAGGTAATATTTAATTTTATTTTTGAAATTATATTTGTCTTTGACGAGTAAATTAAAATAAATAAAAGATTAATTTATCTGTTAAATAATTTTAATATTATGAACTTTGCGGAAATTAGCTTTATTATTTTTCCAACTTGTGATCAGATAAATGATCGAATAAAAGCTATTCCTTCTCCAAAACAATTTTAAGCATATTTTGATTTAACTTTTTTGTTTCTTTCCAATCTTTCATTTATTTAAATTTTTGTTAAAGTTTCGATCTATTGGATTTGTTTATAAGAGATTTTAATAAAATATCTGAGAGAAAAGTAAAAAAGATCAGTCGCTTTCACGCCCACACATCTGAAAAGTGGGAAGAGAGAAAAATGATAGAGAGAAAAGTTAAGAGAATTTTACCTAAAAATATTTAAAAGTAATGGAGAACGGGTAAGAGAACAATTGTGGATTAAAGCTTTAGATTACTTAAATACCTATATCTTCTCGTATTTCTTTAAAAAAATTAAAGTTGTAATTTTTGAACATTATTAAGTTTAAATATTTTTTAATTTTAAAATAATCATCAAGATTTTAATTTTAAAAGAACAGTTGTTCTTTTCTGTTCGTGTCATTTAAAAAAATTCTGTCATTTAGAAATTTAAAGTTTTAAAATTATGTTTAATTTTTTATATTTAATATTTATATTTGAATAATTTTTTTGTTTAAATAATATAAAATATTTTTGAATTTCCCCCAAAGTTTTCTTAGTTTTATATTCTCTCAAAAATGTCTCCACCCGCCATCCAAGGCCAACCAAAAATTCGGCATGATGAACAGACCAACTCCGTCTTCCTTGAAGTTTCTGTCCTCGGAGCTGAAGCAACTAAAACCAAATGGTACTTGGAAGAAAAGGAAATAGCTTCGGGGACTGGGGCCTACAGAATGAGCACTCAGGAACAGGAGGGAGGCAAAAAACTAATTATTTGCGAGATCAAAAATTATGACAAAAGCATGCAAGGAACTTATAAAGCTGTGAGTTTGTACTTTTAGTAGAAGATGTAGTGGGGCATTTGTGAGAAGGTAGTATAGAAGATTTGTTAGAAATAGACAGCTCTTAAAACTTACAATTACATGGGGAGGGGAAGGAGACGATGAAAACCTTTCTCATCTTCTTGGTAAATATCTCGATTGGGGACATGATTCTGGAAAATTATACAAAATTTAAACAAAATTCTTCAGGTATTTTTCAGCCCTGATGGCAAAGAAAATTATGCAACATTTACAGTCAAATCAGGAAGTAAGTTAAAATAAATAGATTAGAGCTAGTTTAGAAAAAGGTATTGTGGGGCGGCATTCTTACGTGCCGAACAGAAAAATGTTTTTACTTTTCCTTCATTTAATTACAGGTATACAAACCGGTGATGGAGAAAAGTGTCATCACTCGGGAACTAATTTTGAATTGTGCAAAAGTCTAGACCCTGAAAGGTTAAAAAGTAAGGAAATTCCTTAAGAATGCCGCTTCTTAGAATTGCTAGAAAATAATAGAATAATTAGAATTTTGTAGAATTATATTAGTAGATGCTTTATTAGAATATAGCTTATTAAAATTAATTTTACAAACTACACAGGATGTGTAACCAAATATTAATGGGACACTTAAAATAAACTTTAAATCTTTTAAAAATATAAAAAAAAGTTATAAACAAATGAAAAGTGTCCCATTAATTTCTGGCCACCCTGTACTGGTATAATTAATTAAATAAAGATGCTCCTGAATTTTATGAGAAGCCAAAAATTACACAAAAAGATGGTGGAAAAGTTATTCAAATAAAGATTCGAGTCAAGTCACATATTGAAATGAAAGCCGAATGGTTCAAAGCAAGTTGCATTTATAATTAGAGACCGGACTAAACGATCCATGAAAGACAAAGCTTTGATCAAGCTTAAAATAATTGTTAGAAATACAATACGTTTTAGAATTTCCATTAAATTTTTATCTTTTACAAACCTACATAGTATTTCATAAAAAAATTTCATGAAAGAATTTTTTTGAAACGATTTATGAGTAAAAAAGGCGGCGTAAGTTTGGCGGCGCCGAAATGTTCATTTTAAGCCTAAACCCTTAAAAGCCTAAACCTTTTGGATTAAAAAGACAATTAGGCGTCAGAACCTTGTTGGCGCCAAGGTTATTTCTTCACTCAAAACTTTCAAGATTGACAAATTCTATTAACAAATCTTATTTACGAGGCTGACGATAAGGGAATTAATTATCTCCTAATTAATAAATCTTAACAAAAAAAAATTAATGAAGGAAAAAATCGGCGCCAAATAAACTGCGCCGAAGTGTCTTCGACCGTTTCTCCTACAAAACCTATACCTTTTGGCTTCAAGTTTTAACTTAAAACTTTAAGCCAAAAGGTATAGGTTTTGTAGGAGAAACGGTTGAAGACAATTCGGCGCAGATTTTTTGGCGTTAAGAAATTTTGAACACTGAAATAAAATGACATTGCACAATTTAATTAAGGATTTGATACTACATATATTTGTTTCCGCTTTGGGTCCTATTCTTTATAAAGAATGTTTATATCCTTTCCTTCATTAAATACAAAATTTCTATTAAAGGATGAAAGCCCACTCAAAACCGATAACAGAATTAAATTATCAACTGAAAAGGACAGTAGTGAACCCGATGGAACAATTCTGTTGTTGGAAATAAATGATCCAACAAAAGAAGATCAAGCAAAGTATTTGGAATTTAAATTAAAATAAAATATTTTATTTTATTTTATTTAAAGGTATAAATGTGTTGTGAAAAATGGTGAGGGACGTAATGAACAATCTTTGAATTTAGTTTTTGATTAAAAATAAATGAAAAAGAAAGTCAGAAAAATATGATAAAAATTAAGTATATCCTCAATTTTCTAAAATATTGTTTATTTGGTTAAGAAAAAAATTTTTAGGATACAAAATCATTTTATGCCTTAATATTGCAACCAGGGCTGGACGCAACTGCAGATTGCGCTGCGTAAATTCCATGGGTTTTTGACTTATGGGCTGCGGATTGCGACTGCTGAAAATTTTTTTAATTGCGTCCAGCACTGATTGCAATAAATAGTTAGTTTTATGGAAATATTTAAAAAATATTATCTTTAAGAATTTCATTTAAATTTCTTCCTAAAATTAAAGAAAGAATTTTTTATCAAAATTTATTTTTAATTAAAATAAATTTATTAAATCTCCAAACTTATTACAACTTTTCTTCTCATTTTAATCAACTAACTAATTAGTTTATTATCTAAAATCTACATATTTCTCTCACTCTTCCATATATTTTGCTACAAATTTTCTTCATTTCTTTGAAAAATGAAACTTTTTTTTGAATAAAAATAAAATCCTTTAAATAAAGAAATGTGAGCTATAAAAAAGTAGAAGCTTTAAATGTACACAATCAAAAAACTAATTAATATATTCTCTTTGAATAATTTTAGATATGTAAATTCTATATTTTTTATTCAATAATTTTACAGTTTACAACCTTCAAAAATTAATTGTTAAAAAAATTTTAAGGACCAAAAAATTTCTAAAAGTCTCCTTTCTTTTCATATATTTAAATCATATTTTTAATAGTTCTTTAAAGAAAAACTAACTACGTAATATCCAATTTATCAAAAAAAAGATACAAATTCCCTTAAAAGCCCCAACCAAAACTTTTAACCTTTAAAAGTTATAACAATAAAAAAACTTTCGTTTTTTCCACTTTTTATCCAAAAAACAAACAAAGGAATAAAAAAAGGATATTGAGGGGAAAGAGTAGAATATATCCGAGAAAATAAAGATTTTTTGTTAAAATGATGGAGAATTTGTTCGGCGGGCGGTCCACAAAATTGAATTGAAAAAAATTTGAAAATAAGGAAGGTACGGGAAGGTAAAGGCATTTTTCTAGACAAAATTTTTAAATTTTTTATTTCTTAAAATTTGGCAGTTTTTTTTTATAAAGGAAAAATCTAATAAAAATTACCAAAATTATTCAGAAATTTTGTAGAAATTATCGTCCTTTTTAAGGAATCGGATCTGGTTAAAAATGAGAAAGATAAAAGGTGAAATAAATCTTTGTTCTATTATTTAGTTTTATTTTATTTTTCTTCCAATCCTTTTCATTTTCTTCAAAAATAATTTTTATTGTTCCAAACAGAATTTAATAAAAAAAATTTTTTTATTAAATATTCTGTTGCCAAAAATTAAAGTTACCTATGTATATATTATTCCTTTATACAAATATTGTTAAATTTACATCCTTTTCTTTAAAAATTCTTAAAAAGGAAGGTGTGAAAAACCCCAAAAACGAAAGGAAATAAATCAAAGACCAAAAAATATTTTCTTTTTCCTTCTCCCAAGCTAAAATCATAATGCGTGGGCATAATAAAAAAATTATATATTTTTATATAATCTTCCATTTCCTTAACTTTATTTTTTATTATTAATCATTTTCACCTGTTCCCAATATTCTTTTGGACTATCCACATATTCACAATACATATATTGAATATTTGCATTATTTAGTTTTTTTTGCTTTTCCCTTTCTCGTTTTTTGTTTAAAATTTATTTGTTTGTGAGACTTTTTTTGTGTGTTGTCTTTGGTTTTGTGCCACCTTTACTTTATTGCCCTCCAGCCCTTCTTTGGACAATTCCTCAGGGATGAGGCGGCGATTTTCCCATAACAAACAAAAAAGCACAATGGAGGTGATAGTGGTAGAATGGAAGGAACTAGCTAGTTTTATTACTTGTTGAAAATTTATTATTGGCATAGGAGTACATTCTTTATTTTTTGTTTTAAAGAAACAAAATAATAACCCTAAAATTTCAATTTTAATATTTATATAAAGGCTTTTATTTTGTTTTTTTTTAATTTACGGAGGATTTTTTTTGGGTGTAAAGATGGAACTAGCTGGTTTCAAGCTCGTTTTTTAGTTCTTCAAGTTCTTCGTTTTTTCTTCCTTACTTTTTCACTTTGTGTACTTTATCAGCTCCTTTAAAGTCTAAAATATATCCTTCTCTAATAATTATTTTTATTTTGTAACATTTACATAATTTAGAACAAAATAATCTGGATTAATTTTCACAAATTCTTTTTATATCTTTTATATTTTTTGAAACCATATTTATTCATAACAATGGAATTGTAAAAACATTATTTTTGTTTAAAAATAATAAGAATTTTTAAAGCTAATCTTTAATTTAAAATCTTATTCATTTTTCTAAAATGAGAATTTTCTTAAATTATTTTTTCGAAAATTTCTTATTTCACTCCTTTATTGAAATTAGTTTCTACTGATTTTCACTCAATTTATCCCATTCTTATATAAAGTTATCAGCAAATAGAGTCTTCCTTACTGATCCAATTATTGTTTCTTTATGAGATTATAATATTTTTCTTAAATAAAAGTATAAATAAATATAACCGGATGTGCACATATTTCAATTTATATATAATTAATTAATTTGTTTAAAAAATAAAAGAGATAAAGTTATAAAATATTTCAAACAGGTGGCCAATATTTTTAAAATGTGGCAAAAGAAAAATAAAAAGAAGAAATTAATTATGAGGCATTTACCAACGAAAAGATTGTGTAGAAGATATTCATATAGTAAATTCTCATAAATATATTAAAAAATATATCTTTGTTATCTTTATGGTTTTTTGGACGAAAATTTCAGAAATAATAAGTTTTTACTCTCCTATCATTTCCTATCCTCGTTTTGATAAATCTACTGTTACATACCTTTCTCAAGAATCTAAATTTTCCTCTTACAAGCATTCTACTGTTTAAATCACTATATATAAATTCAAATAACTATTCTTTAACTGAAGAGGCTAACATATAAAGCACATTAATTAGTTAGCATTTTTATTTCATATATCAGAAATATATTTAATTTTTTACACAAATTTATCAAAAATTATTTAAATTATAAACGTTAGAGTCATTTTAACCAAAAAATTCAAAACCCTTTTAATTATCGGTTTAAAGTTTGTTATTTTAAAAGTTGAAGCTTAATTCCTGGAATTTACTTATTAAATAATAAATAGTTTATAATACGTACTTTAAAAGACATACTAATTTTATTTAAAAATCCTCTCCAAATTAATCTCAAATTAATAAAGGTCGAAGATTTTAATTTTAATAAATTGAAAAGTAATTACTTTTTTTATTAATAATTTTTTAATATATTCGTCCATTCCTCTCTTCAATCCCCCTTATTTCGAAAAAAAATCTTTGTTTTTTTTGCCTCAACATTTTTATCGAGAATAAATTGAGTGAAGCGCCAAGTGCATCAATTTTAATAAAAAAATATATATTTATTTATACATCATTAAATCCTTACTTTCCTCCTCAAAACCTTTAAAATTAAAAAATCTTTCTTCTTTATATTTTAATTTGCGCGATATATAAAAATAATCTTCTACTCTCTATCCTTATAAATTAATCCTTTTTTGTTTATTTATATATTAATTTGACTCATACGTGAGTTTTTGCATGAAAATAAAGTAAAGAATTTGATTTGATTGTTTTTTGGTTTTGATAAAGAATTTTGTTAATATTTAATTGAGACGGGGAGAATATATCTTCCCTGGCTTTTTACAAAAATATAATAATCATTTTAATTAAGGTTGCCGTTTTCAAGTAGGGCCGACGGTCGAGGCATTTTTTTGGGTTTTCATCGAGTCGGGCCGGTACGAGTCTTTTGGGCCAAATATCTTAGACACTATTTTATCCTAGGCCCGATCAAATATCAACCCTAATTTTAAAATTCATTTAAAAGAGTTCTTGATTCCTTCCAAAAATTGGTTATTAATTTCAAAAATTTTAAGAAAATTACAAAAAAAACTTTTCTTTTACTTCCTTTTTCTTTAAATAATTAATTAAATATAAATATTTATTTATTGTTATTACAACAACCAACCAACCAACAAACATTTACATACTTGTTACCTACAATTTAAGTTTTTGTTTAGCTTAAGTACGTAACTCCCCCGCCTCCGCATATTTTCTGCAAATCTAGTCCTCCTCCTCCTTTTATTTTCCCTTATCCTTCAAAATATTTTTTATTAAAAAACAACTTTTATTTTTTAATTAAATAAATATTTACATAAATATTTTTTAACTAAATTACTAATTAATTCTCATATGTTGATATTTTCACACAAATATAATTTAAATTGGTTTTTTTCTTTAATTTTATTTAAATAAAAAAGAAAAATATTTTTACATGTTCCCTATTTTTATTTAATTTTTTCATTTATTTTAAATTTTCCAATTTTTTTCCTCAAAAATTTATCTAAAGGAAGATTTAATTTAATGATCTATGAAAATGAGTCCTTTTTACATATTTATTTTTCTTGACCGAAATGTTTTGAAGTTTGTGGCAAATTAATTTTTCAAAAGGTTTGGTAGGAATATTAGGGAAGAGGTTGATAAGATAAACACAAAAATAAGTACTTTTCATTTCTGAAATTTTAATAATTTCCGAATTAAAATTTTGAAATTTTAAAATTTCTTTCTCTTTAAATGTTAAATCTTTTGTTAAAATTACCTAATTGTTTTTCCATTTAAGTACATAAATATAGAGATTTTAGACATTTCACAGATTTTCTTAAACTTTTATATCGTCTTTGGCATTTCCCTAAAGGGACATTCATTCTCTCACCTCTCTTTTTCTTCTTTTCTCCTTTCCAATATTAGTAAGAGTTGGGGATTCAAAAAAACCAAAAACAAACGGCTAAAGTTTTTGAAAGAAAAAAATAAAAAAAAATTGGATAGATTGGTTAAAATAAAAATAAAAGAAAAAAATTTCCGATGAATTTATCCACCGTCCCCCTTTTATTGCTTTATTTGCAGCACGCGGGAAAATTGGATTTTCTGAAGGCCAAAAAGTTTAAACAAATAAAAGTTGGCAAAAAAAGAAGAACGTATTTTTCAACTTTTTTATATCTGTATTATGTCCTAGATACTAAATATTTTCCCGGGTACAAATTTATTTAAAATCTACCAAAGAAATCTACCATTATTATCAAACGCGTGTACTTGAAACAAGGAGGATTTTAAATTTGCTTGTAATATTTAAAAAATCCGAGCTAACTTTTTCGCTAATATTTTTGAGCTTTTTTAAGCTGACTAAAGAAATCTCATAAGTATATCAGAAAAAAAATTTATAAAAAAATTTTCTTTTAGTTTACAAACATTTTAGTGACTTAATTCCTCAAGATGATAATCAATTCTTAAAAATATTTTTTAATCTTTTAATATGTCTATAAATGCTGAGAATGAGCATTTTACGTCATCTAATCTTTTTGAACATTATGACTTTTCTTTAATTCAAAACAACAATTCTTTAATTAATAGAGAAGGAACAAATATTGAAGATTTGGTTATTTTAAATTTTTATTAAAATTATAAGTATTTAAAGGTTGTATTTATTGCCCTAGAATCACTTGGCACTTTGGCTATTACTGTAAGTAAATGATAACAAAAATATTTTTTATTTTTATAAATTAATTAAAAAATAAATTAGATTCTTAAGATAACAATTAAATTATTTAATTAAATACTCTTTTATGGTTTACCATCGCTAACATCTCGTGCTCATTTTTTGTTCTAGCTAGCTAACCCAATTCGAGTCAAAACTTTCCTCAAGTCCCTAATGCCCCTAAGATTGTTACAAACTCTCGTGAGGCAACTTAACATCCAGCTTTCCTTATTTTCGAAACTAAAGTTTAGTCAAAGTAAAGGGTATTATGAAGGTGTATCCTTAAAGGATATCAGATTAAGGGATATCAGATTTTATTTAAGTTAAATATATGCCTTTGTGTTGTACTTCTTCGGCATAAATATTTGCACAGAGCTAGTTTTGTTTTAATGTTAAGTCTAGCTTTGGCTGATGTTCTTCATGGTTTAGTAACTACTTGCTTCTTTTACCCTCCAATTCTTTTGCGTCAAAGCCCTGTGCCTTCAAGTTTATTTTTAAAAATTAAAAAATTTTTTTTTGGAATTTAGTTGGTGTTAAATTATTTAATATACTTGATTGGACTGCTTGGAGTATAACACTTACACATATGTCTGCAATCTGTTTAGATAGATTACTTGCTATTATGGTAGTTCTAATTTAATTTAGAAAATTATTTAGAATTTTTGTTTAGATGTATAGTCGTTATAATCAATTTATTACTGTTGATAGAGCTCGAAAATTCACTGTACGTCTTTTAAATATTTTTTGATTTTAATTCCAATGAATTTTAAAATTAGGAAAAAATTAACATATCTTATTTTTTTTAGTTCAAAATCGTTTAAAATTTAAGTTCGTAAACATTAATTATTTAATTACCCCGGGTAATAATTTAAACTTATTCTACGGGCCCAGATTCTCCTTTGTCATTTATTCTTAAATAAATTTTTTAAAAATATTTTAAAACTTTATTTAGATATTTTGTTGGACTGCCTTTTTTGCTTTAAACATTTCTTATATTCTTGCCCAATTTTGTTGTTTAATTACTCCCTTACGTGAAATTCATTTTTATACTTTTGGTTATGGAGAATTTGAATCTGAAGGTTTAAAAAAGATTTTTTATTTAAAAAATCTTTCCCATTTTAAGCCAAATTAAGAGAATCCCCTTTTGGAGGTGCCAATCTATTTAAATTAACATATACACCTATAGAATTATTTACATTAACTATTTTATCTATTTCAAATCCAATAACACTTATACAATTATATAGAAGACATAAAAGGAAAATGGCGCTTAGAATGTAAGTTTATGAATATTTTAATAGGCACAGATGCAATTTTGTTTTTTTTAAAACTTTTAAAAAATCTTAGGGATTCTTTTTTAATTTTAAAGGGGCCAAATCCTCTTTTAATTTTTTTTGTATTTATAGAAATAAAAAAAGAAAGGAAGCCTTTTAATGTTTAAAAAATTTTTTATTTGGTTATTTTTTTGTTAAATTGTGATTTATATTTTTAGTTATTTTTAATATTTATTTATTTTAATTTATTTTTGGTTTGGCCTCTTTTTATTTTAAATTTAGTTTTTAATGCAAGATGGCATCTGTGTTTTATTTTTAAATACTTTAAAATAATAATAATATCATTCTCTCTTATTTTTATCATATCTTATCTACGATAATATACCTACTTTCTCTCAATATAATTATCTTTTCAAAGTAATCTATTCCTCGAGAAATTTAAGACAAACCCCTTAAATCAAAATCTTTTTAGCTAAAATCTATCAAACATTTCTATTAATAACTTGTCTATATTAAGCACTATTTCCATTTCTTAAGCACTTGAATCTTTCAAATAAGACAAAAATAATTTTTTATTTAATTTTGTCTTTATTTGTAAATTTAAGACAACGAGCGCCACCAATGGGTCTAGGTGATGCTATGTTAAGAAGGTATTAAAATAAGGAAATCCATTTCTCTTAATAAATGTTTTTTTTTGTTTTGTTCTGTTTGGTTTTTGTGTGTTTGTGTTGTATAAAAAATTTCTAACAATAAATTACTGATAAAAAACTAAACAAGTTATCACAACTAAAAATAATCGTTTGTAGCTTACTTTATGTCGACGTAGAATTTGTTTTTCTTTAAATATCTACATATATCCGTTCGTAAATTAACTTTAATTAATCTACCAGCTTTTTTCCCCAGTTAACTCAATATATAGTATTTTACAATCACTTTAAGAGCACTCAAATTGTCTTTTATCTAAAATATTTTGTTTTTATGTGCAGTTTTTTCTAATATTTTTTAAATTTTTTTTGATTAACCATTTAATTATCACATAATTTGAAGGGCAAGTACAATGCTTCTTGAAGTCTCTATGAGAATGGGTTCAAAACATATAAATAACAATGAAGTACATCATGTTGCTTCAAGACGTGCCAATCGTCAACAACAAAGAATTCTTTTACAGGCAGAATTTTTTAAATTTAAAATAAATTGGAGGAAAATTTTTTTTTTATTTTTAGATTTCTGTTGTCGCCATAATCTTTTATCTGTAAGTAAATTATTTTCAAAATATTAAGGAATTATTAAATATTAAATGAATTTAAAGGAATTTAAAATAATTTGAGTAAATTCTTTACTCATGCAAATTTCCATTCGGAATATATCAAGCAGGGATCGCACTGACAGATAATCAAATTCACGATTTTCATGAATCGTGAATCAGGTCGGTGTGATCCCTGATATGAAGATTTCTTTACTTAAATGTTTCTAATACTTTTGACAATTTCCCTACATCCTCTTAATAAAATTTAACAGAATGATAGGATATAATACTCGAATTAATCCAAATGTTGACAAATAACTTTAATAGATTGAGAGGTCTTAATAATCCCCTCCTATTTTCTTACTAAAAATTCTTCAAAATAAAATTAAAATATTTTATTTATACTATTTAGTTATATGTTCGCTTATTATTTACTTTATCATGTGCTCAATGTTTCCAATAAATGGGTTGTGTTATTTAATTCATTCTTTTATTCAACTACACATATGATTAATCCGGTTTTTAATAAAAATTTTTTTAATTTTAAAAATAATTTTTAAAGGTAATTTATTTCTCTCTAAATAAAGATATGAGGGCACAATTAATTCGGACAATTTCTGATTTTTTACATTGGCTTTGTTGTGTGGCAGGAGATGCAAGATTACACGCAGCTGGGGCTTCTTCCTTTTATGGCAGGGTTAAAAGAGGAGAGGGAGAGTCTTCTTCTGGTGGAAGTCCTCTCAGAAAATCATCAGTTAACGAATTGAATAGGTGAGAAACGAAAAAATAAATTCAGGGCTTATATAGAAAACCCTCTAAATTTTATCTAAAACAGAAAGGCAATAAAAAAATTTATCTAAAAATTCTTTTGCAGTTCTGCACAACCCGGAGACGGTTGGACACTCAGGTGCTTAAAATTAAAAAAAAAGAGTATTTTTAAATTAAAACTTTACTAACATTTTTTAAACACTTTTTTCTTTCTCTTTTTTCCTCTCAAATGTCAGTGAAAATGTGTTCGTTCAGATATTTGGTGGCCAGTTATTGTTCACGTCGTCGTACGTCAATAGTCCCCCGTGATTGTTGGAATCGTTTAAGTGCTTTTATTTATCGACAACGACAACCTTTACAAGAACAACAACAAGAAAAAACAAAAAATAATAATTCTAATAATACAATTACTACTGCTACTACAGTTATTTTAAATAAAGATGGAAATTTAAAAACATCTGTTGTTGCATTGACACCAAAAATGGCAGAAGAAATTGGTTTGAAAAATACAAAACAGAATAATTTTGAGGAGAATAGTGATACAATAATTAGTAGTAGTGGAGGTGGAGGAGATAATTTAAATAATAATCGTTTAACACCTTTTAAAGTACATTTTGTGCCAAATTATTTTTATTGAAATTAATAAAATGTTTGTAAATAATTGGACAAGGGCGTTCGAAAAATTGTTTTTTAAGGGATAGTTTTCGTATTTTTCTATTTATTTCCTACGTTGTGCCAACCTTTTCAATTGCTTGCTGGATAAAAACTTTTAAAATTTTCTAGAATAAATCCCTTATCTTAATTCTTTTTTTAACTCTTTTTACTTTTTCATTTTTCCAAATTAACATTTTCTTGCTTTAACGTATTTTTTCCTTTTTAATGTTAAATTTGAAATGTAAATTTTAATTTAAAAAATTAATAAAAAAAGTAAACAAAAATTAAATTAAAATAAATACACATTTATAATTTAAATTTTGTCAAAAATTATTTTATTAAAAAAAGGTTACCAACATCGTGTACAACAAAAAAAAGTTGGCATCAAATAACACGAAATACCCCTAAGTCATCAGCTTCTGAAAGACGCCATCTTCTTAAAATTAATAGTAATCCACCTCCAAGTGTTGCCTCTGCCCCTTCCTGTATTGAACAATGTAGGGGAATTAAAATTAAAATTTTAATTTAAAAAATTCCAGGTCAGCAAGAGACAACAACACAACAAATTCAAGATTCAAACAACAATATAGACATTATTATCGTTAATAATCACCAAAATTCTCAACAAAATAAATCTAAAAATTTGGCGGGCATAGCTCTTAATTTAGTTCGTTCTGCCTCTCGCGAATTTAATGAAGGGAAAGTGAAGAAAAATAAAATTTTTGAAAGAATAAAAGGAAGATCTTTATTTTTAAATTCAAAAAATTATTTTGTTGCTTCAGAACCAAATTCAAGTTTTAATTTGGAAAGAATTAATAAATGTTTAAAAGAAGAAGATTTTGAAGGAGAAAAAATTAAAAAATTAAGTGAAACTCTTCCAATTTCAAATTTTTGTTTTAATAACAACAACAATGAACACAATAATAATGAAATTGAAAGGAATAAAATTAAAACAAAATTTTCTTCAAATGAATTAAATACTATTAGTGTAAATTATTTAAAAACAGAAGATTCAAACGAGGCTATAACTCTTGATTTGGTAGAAAATTGGAGTGTAAAAGTAAAAAGTTTTTCTATTGGGTGTTTCTAAAAAATATATAAGCTAGTATGCTGTTTCATTCAACCTTTGTTAAAGATATTTTAAAAATTTTAGCACAACACTTTTTAACTTGGGAAAGCTAGGAGTAGGTAATCTATTTCAAAATATATGATGATCTTATTGACGTCAAAAAGCAATTCCTGATTCGGAATCAAGCTGGCAAGATTACTGTCACCTACCCATTTATAGGGTGCTAATCATTTTGATTAATTCACAATATTTAAAAATTTAACAAAATTAATTCAAACTATTCTGATGTAACAAAAATAAAAAAATTTTTTAAGGAAAACCAGGAAAGCCAAATAGAACAAAAATTGCATAAAGAAACTTTAGATGGCCTTTCACGATTACGCGGACTAGGCTCTTTCCTAGCTGAACAACTTTCGAATGAAGCAGATAAATGTGATAAAAGATGGGCAATTGCAAGAAGACAAAGAAGAACATTAATAGATTCACTAATTTTGGCTTTAAAAGAAGAAAGTGAAGAAGGGAAATTAAAAGGGAAAGAAGATCTAAATAAAAAATTGGATAAATTAAATTCTCTAAAAATAGAACAAAAATATCCAAAAAGGCATTCTAGTAATGGATGGTTATTTAAAATAAATGATGATAATATTAGCTAGTTAGTTGAAATTAAAAATTAAAATACTTTCAATCTTTTTTTAGTTCAACAACAACAAAAAATAATTCAAATGCCCCAAGTTGTTCTTCTTCAGAAATTATTTCAACAAAAAATGAATTACCCCGTTATGAATTTTTTGAAAATAAAAAAGTAAAAGACAAAAAAAGTGAGGAAGAGGCAGATGATGAAATTGAAACGAGTGGAGATGATGATATTATTTATTTATAAATTTTTATTTGTTTTTTTTATAAAGCTAAAGAAATTATTATTTATTCTTAAAATTAATTTTTTTTTTATAAAAAAAGAAAAAACATAATGAGAGTAAGATGATTGTTTACAAAGTTTTAGTAACGTAAATAAATATCAAAAAAACTTGTTTTTTTAATTGGTTGGCTTGCTTTATTTCCTTAGGATGATTTTTAAAAAATAAAAATCAATAATTAAAAAAATTAATTTAAATAAAAAAATTTTTAAAAATAATTTTTAAAATTTTCAAAAGATTAAATAAAAATTTTAAAAATAAAAATCAATAATTAAAAAAATTAATTTAAATAAAAAAATTTTTAAAAATAATTTTTAAAATTTTCAAAAGATTAAATAAAAATTTTAAAAATAAAAATCAATAATTAAAAAAATTAATTTAAATAAAAAAATTTTTAAAAATAATTTTTAAAATTTTCAAAAGATTAAATGGAAATTTTAAAAATAAAAATCAATAATTAAAAAAATTAATTTAAATAAAAAAATTTTTAAAAATAATTTTTAAAATTTTCAAAAGATTAAATAAAAATTTTAAAAATAAAAATCAATAATTAAAAAAATTAATTTAAATATAAAAATTTTTAAAAATAATTTTTAAAATTTTCAAAAGGTTAAATAAAAATTTTAAAAATAAAAATTGTTGGAAAATATTTCTTTTCCCAACAATTATTTAAAGTTAAAGAATTAATTTTAAAAGAATAAAGACTTTATTTAAAATTAAAATTTTAAACTTTAAATTTATAAAACAAAGGAAGAACTTTTCCAATTTAATTATACAATTGACTTTACAATTTCTTTATTTAAAGAACAATTAAAACTAAAAGAAACTTTAAAAGTTTACAATTTTATTCAAACAATTACAATTACAAAAAACTTTACAAAAAACTCTTGAGAGAATCTGAAAAACTCTTATACATTAAACAATTCCTAGACTTGAGAATTACAAAGAACTCTTTAAAAATATTAAACTATATTCAAATAAATATTTTTACAATTTAAACGTTACAAACATAAACTCAAATTACACAAGAACTTTTGAGAGAATCTAAAAACTCTTATACAATTAACATTTTCTAAACGAGAGAATTACACAAAACTCTGATTATTCCCTAAAATCCTAACGCTTAAATAGAGGAAAAATGGGAGGGATTTTACATAAAAATAACAAAAATTTACAAAGTGCAATGAATAATGAGAAAGAATTTGGAAGAAGTAGGCGTATTTGATTACGCATGATTAAAAATAGAAATAAAAAAATAAAAATATTTTTAACAATAAAGACAAGGGACAAAAGGGTCAGAAAATAAAATAAATAAGTCGCTTTTCGCGACACTCGGGAGCGCGAGGAAAATAAAACGAAATAGATGAAAGGATTAAAATTTATCTTTTTTGAAAATATCCTCTTCATCATTTAAGTCCCTTGTTCTATTCTTCCAAATTCAGCACTGGACATCTTTGAGTTGAAGCATCCATTTTCACAGCCTTTTTGTAGCATAAGTAGCAACAATTCATGAGCCAACACACAAGTTTTGTTAGAGATGAACATCTTTCTATTTGTTTTTCTTTCATTTTTCCGTGATATACTCTTTATACATTCTTTAATTAATTGAACACTTTGTTTTAATCTTTTATCTTGTATATCCTTTTCAAATTTTAAATAATCAAACCTTTTTAATTTATCTCTATATTTTACTACATAATTGAATGTTTCTCTGAAGTATTTCCAATTAAATTTATCTTGCCTATTTACTTTCAAATCTGCAATTAGTAAAAATCTATTATTATCAAATTCATGAATTTTCGCAACTATATTTTCTTTTAAATCCGTGCTTTCTTCTAAATATTCTAATTCACAAATTAAATTAATCAAACTGAATATTATCAACATTTTACAAAAAACAACTAAAATTTTATCTGTAGTCAATAAATATCTCATCGAATCTTTATTAATTTCATTACTTTTATTAAATCTTTGTAATTTCTGTTTTAATCTATTTCCATTCTTTGTTTTAGCATAATGTTTGCTACTTGAAATAATTTCTTTTCTGCAGAAACATTTTTCTACATAACTTCTATTAATTTCTTTTACTGGCGGAATTACTTTCTGAACAATTTTATCTTTTTCTTTTATGTTAACATTTTGAAAATCTCGGCAGGATTTAACATCAGATTTATTCGACATCTCTTCAAAAGAGTGAACAACTACATGAGTTTGGACTTGCATTGACCTTTTCAATTTCCTCTGATTTTCACCACAGAGAACATTTCCGATAGTTGTCTTTATCAAATAACATCCTTTTGAAACCTCTGCTTTTCCATTAAAAAATTTCCAAAAATCTTTTATTCCTATTAATAAATCTGGCTTTGCACAATTAGTTTTCAAATTAATTTTCATCTCACTAATTTTTACATTAGAATTATTTCCATTTATACTAACAGATTGTAATTCGTTAGATATTTTATCAACACTTAATATCTCAATAATTTCTCTTTTTCCATCTATTCTTTCAATTCCAATTGAGTATTTTCCAGTTCGTTGTTTCTTGGACTTATTTCCCTGAAATGTAGATACTTCAAGAAAGCCTTCACCTCGTTTTACTAAATTTAATTTCTTAGCTAATTCATCAGTAATATAATTAACTTCACTACCAGTATCCAGAAATACAGAAACATTAATTTTCTTGCTTTTATTCCTTGTAGAAAAAACTTTTGTTTTCAAAATCATTAAATTCGGCGACGAATTATTTAACAAAGAAGTACATGTATTTACTGACAAATTCTGCGTTTCCAAAATTTTATTTTCAATATTAGGTTCTTCACCCTTTTTACTTACAGATTTACAATCTGAGCTTTTCTCTTTCCAACTTTGGGATTTTCGCTTTTTATAATTTATTTTAAACATTTGCGGTCCATATGTTAAAAAACACTTTGTCCTTTTATGACAAATGGCAGTATTATGAGGTCCTTTACAGAAAAAACAACATTTTTTACTAAAACACATTCTCGAGATATGACCTCTTGCACAACATCGAAAACATCTTCTCTGTTCAAATAAACGCTTTTTGCGTTCCTCCAAACCTGCAACATTTTTACATGTATTGGACCAATGATTTCCATTACAAAAATAACAAATAATATTTCTTCTATTTATAGTCACGGAAAAAGATCTAGTCTGATTAATTACGTCAATTTTTTCATTATCTTCTTTATTACTAGATTCTTCATATATTCGAAACTTTTCCCCTTTCGAACTTGACTGACTATATTTTTGTAAAAGATTAAAATGTTTACTTGATTGGTAAACTGATTCTCTTATATTAACCATTTCAATTAAAGCTTTTCTTAATTCATTAGTTTTCCATGTTTTGCCTAAGGCTTTCTCTTCTCTGGCAATTTCCATTAAAATATTTCTATTAAGCTTTGACTTTATTAACGAAGTCATAATCGAATTATCTGTATTTTCTCCTAAACTTTCTAATTGTCGAAATATTTTTTCTATTTTATCGACAGTATTTATTAACGAAATTGCTTTTTCTGTACAAACAGGTACTCGAAATAATTCAGATTCCAAAGCCTCAATCAAAATATTTTTATCTCCAAATTTTTCCTTTAATATTTTAACTGCAATTTCGTAATTTTCATTCGTTAATATTAAATCTGAAATTGCATCTTTTGCTTCTCCTTTTAAACAATTAAGCAAAAATTTCATTTTATCAATTTTACTAAAATTCTGTTTATCAATTGAACATTCAAAACTTTGCCAAAATGAAATCCAATAATGTGGATCTCCATGAAATTCAGGCAATTCTAGTCTAGGTAATTGTACAGTTAATTCTCTTGTCTCTACATTGTTAATCTGTGTTACAACAGAATTATTTTCAGAGGTATCTGAATTTCTTTGAAGAAGTTCATCTATCGAGTCAACAATTTCTCTTCCTTTTTCGATCCATTCATAGAAATGTCTATTCTCAACTGTATAATTTTCATAAGCTTGAGTTTCTTTTATTTTATCATCTGGATCTAAAACTTTTAGAAAATCTAACCAAAGTTGGTTCTTTTCATCTAAAGTTTTTAAAATTTTTTGAATGCTTTTTCCGTCATTCACTAGTGATTCTTTCTCTTCATCGTCTATTTCATCTTTTACTAAATTACTTTCAGCATTTTCAATTCTAACTCGCAAACGTTGTAAAACAGTACCGATCATTCTTTTGTATGGACCGGACATTTTCACTTTTTAATTTAAACTTCCAACTTTAATTTCAGATAGATTTTTAACTTTAAACTTCTAACTTTAAACTTTTAAATGTAACTTAATCTTTTAAGTTATGAATTTATTTAAAAACAATTTCTCTTTAATTTTAACAAGAAAGAACTTTTATCTTTTTTACAAACAATTTTAACTTTTAAAAACTAAAATTCAAACAGGTTCGTTCAAATGTAGCGGCACCACTTGTTGGAAAATATTTCTTTTCCCAACAATTATTTAAAGTTAAAGAATTAATTTTAAAAGAATAGAAACTTTATTTAAAATTAAAATTTTAAACTTTAAATTTATAAAACAAAGGAAGAACTTTTCCAATTTAATTATACAATTGACTTTACAATTTCTTTATTTAAAGAACAATTAAAACTAAAAGAAACTTTAAAAGTTTACAATTTTATTCAAACAATTACAATTACAAAAAACTTTACAAAAAACTCTTGAGAGAATCTGAAAAACTCTTATACATTAAACAATTCCTAGACTTGAGAATTACAAAGAACTCTTTAAAAATATTAAACTATATTCAAATAAATATTTTTACAATTTAAACGTTACAAACATAAACTCAAATTACACAAGAACTTTTGAGAGAATCTAAAAACTCTTATACAATTAACATTTTCTAAACGAGAGAATTACACAAAACTCTGATTATTCCCTAAAATCCTAACGCTTAAATAGAGGAAAAATGGGAGGGATTTTACATAAAAATAACAAAAATTTACAAAGTGCAATGAATAATGAGAAAGAATTTGGAAGAAGTAGGCGTATTTGATTACGCATGATTAAAAATAGAAATAAAAAAATAAAAATATTTTTAACAATAAAGACAAGGGACAAAAGGGTCAGAAAATAAAATAAATAAGTCGCTTTTCGCGACAAAAATCAATAATTAAAAAAATTAATTTAAATAAAAAAATTTTTAAAAATAATTTTTAAAATTTTCAAAAGATTAAATAAAAATTTTAAAAATAAAAATCAATAATTAAAAAAATTAATTTAAATAAAAAAATTTTTAAAAATAATTTTTAAAATTTTCAAAAGATTAAATAAAAATTTTAAAAATAAAAATCAATAATTAAAAAAATTAATTTAAATAAAAAAATTTTTAAAAAAACAAGTTTATAAAAACAAGCTAAAACAAGTTTATTTTTCCGATATATATTTAACTTTCAACCCTCTAGATTGGAAAAAACTAAACTTGTTCAAAACAAAGTTTAAAAAGTAATAAAACAGGTTGCAAAACAGGATTTAATTTTAATAAATGTTGTAAATCTGGAAGATTGTTCTTTTTCAGAGATGGTTCCTCTTTCATTAATTACGTAACGATTACGAAATTTAAAGAAAAACAATAAAATATAAACATCCCATCTCCTCCCCAAATATACATGCACTACCATTTCGACTATAAAAGCTTGAAAATTTTTTGTTTCATAAATTCTTAATTACATATTTCTATAAATTATTATTATTTCTGTTGGTTAAAATGAGCGCTTCTCCTCCACCTGATGTTAGTTTTTGTTTTATCTTATTGTTTTTTATCTTTTATCATTTTTTAATTTAAGGACGGTACTTACGACTACATTCAATCTGTAATCAAGAAGGAAAAGGAAACAACTGCTGAGAATCTTAGAGTAAAAATATTTATGAAATATAATAAATAAATTTTTCAAATTTAGTTACGAAAGAAGATCGTCAACGCAATTGTTGTTCTTATCGGGTCCGACGAGAATTTGCTCTGCGAAGTTCAGAAGATGAAGACTAAGCCAAGTGAAGAGCCTAAGGATGTCGTAAAGAAGAAGAAGGCTAAAAGTGAATCTCCAAAGAAGCGAGACAAGAATGATAGTAAAGAGGCAATATAATAGATATATTAGGAGATTGAATAAATAAATAAATTAGGCATTGTTGTATAAGGAGTTTTTTGTGTGAACATTATATATATATTTTTTTATTGTAACAAGTATGTATGTTTAGGGTTGTGAGAACATGTTTTTAATAAAAAAAACCATTGTAAAAAATTTGTTCTCCTAATTTCGTAAACTTGTTTTTTTTGTAAAACTCAGTCTAAGTTTTAAAAGGCACTTGTAAGTGTGAAATAATTTAGAAATGTTAAATGTTCGGAAAATTGATTTTACCGGTCATTAATCGTTAGTAATTGCCTAACCAATTTTAGTATTTAAACACTTATCAAGTTTTATCAAAATCATTCTCTCAACTTTATTTTTAAAACCTTTCCAACTTTACCTCTTCTATAACATTTTATTTTATTACCACAATATATTTTACAAGGCAAGTTTATTTAAAAAAATATTTCACATAATTTTTTTTCTTTTAGTGAAAGATGCCAGCAAAATCTTCAAAACGTTCAAAGAGGGTGAATTTAATGAATCCAAATTTGACAGATGAGGATATTTCGAGAATTTGTAAAGAGCAATATGGAAGTATTCCGGGCACAGATTTTGCAGTTAAATTAACAGAGGCAGTTCTGGCTATAAACAAAGGGATTTACCCCGAGCTTATCTCTGAGGGATCTTCTGGCTCTTATTTAGTTAAAAATTTGGGAAGGGAGAAAATTGCTGTTTTTAAACCGAAAGATGAAGAGCCGTATGGAGAATTAAACCCAAAATTCATGAAGTGGATACAGAGAATGTGTTGTCCTTGTTGTTTTGGACGTTCTTGTCTCGTTCCAAATCAAGTGGGAATTTTAACAAATCTTTTTAAAATTTTGTCATTTCAGGGCTATTTATGCGAATCTGGTGCATCTTTGGTTGATCAAAAACTTTCTTTGAATATTGTTCCCAAAACAGCGGTTGTTTCTCTTTCATCTCCAACATTTAATTATACGCGTGTTGATCGAGCTATGGCGAGAACAAAAGAAAGGATTAGTTATCGTTTTGTAAGGCCCTCAAAAAATATTCGGCATATTGGATTACCTCGAAAGGTTGGTAGTAAGTGGAGGTGGGTCGGAATGAATTCGGACTTTCGATTACCAATTTCCGACTTTTGAGCCATTCAATTTCCGGCTCTTCCGATTTCCGACACCTCTGACTGTTCCGACCCACCTCTGGTAGTAAATATTTTTATTCAAGGGGGGGGGGGGGGTTAATTAGAGAGGGTCTCAAAAATGATTTTAACAACATTTTAATTTTCAGCGTGGAAGTTTCCAACTTTTTGTGAATGGTTACCAAGAAGGAAATTATTTAATACGACAATGGGAACTTTTTCCAGAGAAATCACCTCCACCTTCTGTAATGGCTGAATTCCAATTAGAATTTGAAAAAATGGTTATTCTCGACTATTTGATTCGAAATACTGACAGAGGAAATAATTGGTTAATTAAATATACTCCTGGAATGGAAGTGAAAAATAATCAAGATTTAATAGTAGAATCTAGTTCTGATTCTAAATTAATTGAACATGAAGAAGAGAATAATAATGGTGGGTGTTGTTTTTGAATTAATTAGTAAATTATTTAATGGGCACTAATAATCCTTGTAGCATTCCACTTCGGGGCCAAATTACTGACTTAAAAATAGAAAGTCCATAGGGGGACCAAGCTCATTCTAGGGTCAAAATTTCGAATATGCCAATGATAGCGTATTCGGAAGAGCTCGGCGAGCTGATGTGAGTCGGATGACACCAAAATCAGCGGGTTTCGATGAATTTAAACAAAGCTGGTACCCCTTCTCTAAATTTTCAGAAGTCTGTAACCCAGTCCCGGAATAATGATAGTCACCTCGTTTGACTCAGTTTTCAGAGCTCTTTCGAAGGTCACCTTATTCGGCCAAATAGGTCCAGAAACAAATAACCCCTATAAGTCACAATAACCGTTTTTTCCAATCAAATGTTAGCGAGTTAGGGAAATTTAAAAATATTTTAGAGGTTTTTAAGGCTACATTTTTTAAATTTAGTTTGTATTAAAATTGCTGCGATAGACAACGGACTTGCTTTTCCTTTCAAACATCCAGATGAATGTAGAGCTTGTAATAAACACAATTTTTAAATATTTTAATTTAAAATTTATTTTTAAAAGATCCTTTTCATTGGGCCGATCTTTTAATTGCTCAACGTCCATTTAGCGAAGAAATTGTCAATAAAATATTGCCTTTATTGAATAATACAGATTTTGTGAAAGAATTAGGTAATGAGCTTCGAAAAATATTTGAGGTGAATTAAATTGGGGGTTTTTTAAAGAAATTTTTTAATTTTTAGTCAGACAAAGGTTTTAAAAAGAGAATATTTTCCAAACAATTATCTGTAATTCGTGGTCAAATGTTTAATTTGCGAGAAGCTTTGCGTAAAAGAAAATCGCCTGCTCAACTTGTTCAGGTAAAAGAATAAAAATTTTGAATAAAATTTTTATATTTATATTTTTTAGATGACTCCAGTTTGTATGATAGAAATAGAAACAAAGAAGAAACGTAAATTCCCAAAATTTTCTAAAAAAGGCAAACAAGAAAATGAAGAAAAACAAATTCAAGTTGTTGATGATTCTCCAAAAGATGTAGATGATGAATTAGCTAATCCAAAATCTTGGAGGAATATATTTAAACAAAAAATACAGAAAAAGTCACCACTTTTTAAAATGTGTTGAATTTTATTTGAAAAAATAATTTTGGAAGAAATTATCAAATAAAAAATACATTTTGATTTACTCCTATTTTATTTTAACTACCAATATTTTGTTTACTTATTTAATAAAAATTTTTGTTGTTAGCGACGCTGTTCATTTTGTTGCCATTTCCAGTATTTAGGGTTGTCAAAATGGCCCGACCGAAAGACCGAGCCAGGCTTAAGATATTTGGGCCGAAAAAGACTCGTACGGCCCAACTCGATAAAAATGAGGCCCGAAAAGAATGACTCGATCGTAGGCCCGACTCGAAAACGGCAACCTATGTACTTGTATTATCTTACTTATTTGAGTTTAATTTACAGCGAATTATTATTTATTTAAAAAAAATCTTTCTTAATTAATTTATTAAAGCTTATTTTGAAAGCAATTTAAAAATATATTTCCTAAAATAAATCTTTTTCCTCCCTCCTATCCTTTCATTTCCATCATTGTTTACATAGTCAAAGTCCACTTCTACTGTACTTTAATTGTTCCATTGAAGAGGGTTCCTCCTCTGCTAGTTCTCTTCCTGGAAAAATTGGATGAAATGCACCACTAATACTTTTTTGATCAAAACCATGTGCTCGATCGAGTCTCGGAGTGGTGCTCACACTTTGTTCCTCTGTTTCACTGCGGCTTATGTCTTCTCGATCAGGTGGAACAACAAACACTTCGCGAATAGGTGTTGAAGTGCCCCTAGGCGGTGTTAAAGGATTTGATGCAAATGTTCTCCTAAAATTCGAAAAAGAATTTTTTAAATTTAATTTTCTTCCTATTTAACATAAATACAAAATACCTAAATCTAAAACTGTCAATATTATCACTTCTACTCGGCCAAAAATCGCTAACTCCACTCTGAACCCTTCTAATGTCCACATTTCTCAAATTTCTGCCTTTCCTCCTTTCACTTTCCAAACTTTCATGTAAAATTTGTATTTGATTTTCTAATTGACGTATTTTCTCTTTACAAAGTCTTTCTCTGCTCTCAAGAATTTTTTCAAACTAAAAATTTTTTTAAAAGAATTTTCACTGATAAACTAATTACCTGAGCCTTTTCATTTCTCATTCTTTGAATTTGTTTTTCTTGTTCCTCTTTTTGTATTTTTGAAATTTCCATTAAACGATTACCATTTTCCATTTCAAGTTGTGCTACTTGTTGCTGTAATTGGGCACAATTTTTGTAAAGTTCTCTATTTTCTCTTTCCATTGCATTTAAAGATTTTTCAATTGCTTCTCTTTGTAAAGCTGTTTCACGTATTGCTTCATCTGTTCGACGCTTATCAATTTCATGCTTAAATGGATTTAAATCAGATTTTAATTCTATAAATTCCCTTCAAATAATGAATGTTCTATCGAGGGAATGTTTAATACATATTCCACTAGGTGTTCTTTTCTTAAAGATTAGAGTGGACACGACCGGTTAATTTTTCCCTATGGCGACGCGTATGCTCGTATCTTCTTTATTTGACCCGCCACGGGGGTAGTGCTTCAAGTCTCCTTTCTTCAGCCTGTCCTAATCTATTAGAGATATAAAACTGCCGTTTTTCGGATCCAACCTTGGAGAAAGAGTGTCGGATGTTTATGAACTTAAATTAGAAACAAAATCTTGCCCAAGGCTTGGAAAAAAGATTTCGCTTATCCAGTGATTTTGAATTATACAAGATCCTATCAAAATCTCCTTTTTGGATAAAGAAGAATTTTATCTCCTTTTTAGATACAATTAAATTACTAAATCTTGCCATTTGAATTTTCTTTAATAAGAATGCTTTTTCCGTTTTGCATTGTCCTTCTGCCCTTCCTAAAGCATCATTTTCTAATTTAATTTGCTGACATTTCTCTTTTAATTCACTAATTTCTTTTATTAATTGTTTTTTCTCATTTTTTAAAACTTCATATTGTTTCTTTAATTCACTTTCATTTAATTTTTGTGTTACATTTTGCTACAAAATTTCAAAAAAATATTTTTTTATTAAAATAATTAATTATGAGAACCTTTTCTAAATCTCTAATTTTTTCTTCATTTCTATTTTTATTTATTTGAGCATCTTGTATTTGTCTATTTAAATCTCCAATTTTATTATTTAATTCATTTATTCGTTGACGAAAGTCTCTAACTTCTGAACGTGCATTAATTAATTCTGATTCAGTCTCTTGTTTACGAATTTGATTTCCGTATAATTCGTTTTGTATACGAGTTAACTAAAAAATTTTGAATTATTAAGATTCTATTTTTTTCAAACAAAGGGGTTTTTAAATTTTAACCATCAAATAAGCAAATTATGTGGGATTTCTTTCAGTAAGGTAAGGATGCAAAAAGTTTTTGATATATTTTCTAGAGTAATTAATTATTCGATTTATTTCCCACTCTCGTGAGGGTTAAACTATAATTACCCAAAGTACAAAAAAGTTTAAATCCCAAAATTCACTCTCCAAAATCCCCTCTCTACTTGTTCTTTTGTCGTTTTAAGTTCATTTCTTTCCCGAGAATGTATTTCTACAGTTCGTTTAAGTTCATCTTCAATTGATTCTGTCCTTTTTAATTCCTTTCTCAATCTCTCAATATCTTCTTGTAATCCATTAGAATTTTCCTCGCTTGTTTTTAATCGAATATTTAATTCATTTAATTTTTCGTTTAAACCCTAAATTATTTTTTAAAAAATTTTTTCTTTAATTTTTTTATTATTTTACATTATTTGTTGTTTGACAATTTGTTAATTTTAAACGTAAATCTCTCAATTCATTCTCTTGATCTCTCAATGTTATTTCCAATTGAAATCTATTCGAGTCCTTTAACTCATTTTTATCTCTAGTTACTCGCAATTCTTCTTTTACCGCATCCAAATCATTTTGGAGAATTTTTAGTTTTTCCTACAAATTATTTGTTAAAATAATTATTTTTTGAATTAATACATATGTTTTTAGTCATTATGGAAAGAAGGCCAAAAAAATTTCCAGATTCGGTAATATCCTCATCTAAAGAGTTTGATAAAGAAACTAGAAAATACTATGGGTAGTCACTATAGAGCTGGCTGGATCTGGATCCAGACTTTGATTTTTCCTTTACCTTGATTTTTCCTTGACTCAAGGTCAAGAATCTGGTCAAGGTACCCAACCGAAATCAAGGTCAAGGATTCACGGTTTTCTGAAAATCTCGCTTTCTACTAGTTACATAATCTTATTTTGTACATTCTAATTAATAAAATAATTAACTGCTTATATTACTCAAGATTAAGGATTAATCCAAAAAATAAACTACGAACATTTAAATGCCTAATTTGTGCTTCTTTTCCTCTTGTTTCCAATTCTGCGGTAATTAAATTATTTTTAATTTGTCTTCTTTCTTCTTCTCTTAATTTCATATTTTCTTCTTGCGATTTAAGTAGTTGTTTTGCTGTAGCTAATCTAGCTTCTAATGAACGTTTGTCTTAAATAAATTTTTGCAAAAATTATTTAAATTTACTTTTATCTACCTTCCTCAGCATTTTCTAAATTTTCTTCAATTGTTCGAAAATGTGTTTCTTTTTTAGTATAGGTTGTTTTAGTATCTGTAGATGTATTTTTTAGACGATTTAATTCATCTCTGTAACGATCCTAAAAAATGTATGTTTGAATTTTTAATATTTCTTCCAGCATTAAGGACACAATCCTCAATATTGTAGAATTTTAAAACAAGGATAAAAATTGAAGGGTTTTTTGAAAGGATCTCATAATTATAGGGCTTTTATTAGATATGGACTAATAAACTACATATATTTTTATTAGTAATTAAAATACCCGATCAATTTGAAGGTTCTCTATTCGATTAGCCAAATCTTGTAAAATATCATTTAATCTATCCGAATTTATTTCGCCTCTTTCATCAACAAAATCATTATTATATTTAGGTAAAGGAATTGAACGAAATTCAAAACCATTACCATTTTCTTTAATTTCTTTATATATTCTTATTGTGCTAACTCTAAATCTTTTTAATGCATCTTTTAATAATTCTCTTTCATTATCCGCTTTGATATATTCTTCTTGTAATTGTTTCAATCTTTGTTCGTTATTTTCGATTTGTGACTGAAAGTTTTATTTTTTTAGAATTTTTATTTTATTTAAATATTAAGGCCAGAATTTATTTTATATCTAATTGAATGAAAAATAAACATTCAAAAAAAGGAGAAAAATTCTGAATTTAACAGTCATTAAAAATATTTTTCCACATTCCCATTCATTTAATTTTCCAATTAATGTACCTTCATATCTGCACTATCATATTTTATTTTTTCCAATTCTTGTAGTGCTGCAAGTCTCCTTTCTTCAGCTTCTCTATGTCCCTTAGCCAAAGCTTCAATAGTCATTTCATATTCTTCATTTCTTCTAATTATTTGTTCTTTTCCAAATTCCAATTCTTTTTGTAATATTTGATTTTTTGAAATTAAATTAATTTTCTCATCTTCAACAACAATTAACTGCAAAAAAAATATTAATTAAAATTGAGTTTAAGATTTTATTTTATTTTTAGAATTTTCAATTATTTACAAAAAAATCTCCTACCTTTTCAATATTTTTTTGATTTTCTTCACGTAATTTTTCCATTTTATTTTCCAATTCATTTTTAAAATTTTCCAATTCCTCCAATTGTTTTCCTTTTTCTTTAATTAAAGATTGTAGCCTTATATTCTTTAAATTAATTTATTTTTAATTTATTTTCTCTTATAATACCTCTGATTTTTGTCTCATTAAATGTTTTTTTGATTCATTTAAATTCCCCTCAATTTGTTCCAAATTATTTTTTATTTTTTTATTTAATTCTTCCAATTCTTCTTTTATTCCATTAATCCTCTCAATTTCTGTATTTTTTCCTTCAATTTCAATTTTTAATTTTCCATTTTCATTTTTTATTTCTTGATTCTCATTTTCCAATTGCTTAATTTTATTTTGGATATTCTCTAATTCAACTTCTTTTGAATTGTAATTGGCTCTAATATCCGAAAGTTCTTCTTCCAATTTTTTGAGTTGTAAATTTACTTTAAATTAATAATTATTTTATTTTATATTCACTTCTTTCCCTCTTTTTAATGGATAAAGTTTGTTATTTTAAAAGTTAACTTTCTATAGGGTTACTCCCTCTTATCACCCTAGAATTTCTTATCCTAATATCTTGTTAGCAGTCATCCATTCGCATTCTTCACTAACCTACCTATTTTTTATAATTTATTTTTTAATTGGATATTAATTATCTGAATAGCTTCTGACTATAAAGAATTACAAAAATAATTAATTATTTACATTCTCTAATTCTCGATACATAATCATTAACTGTTTTATTCAAAGCATCATTTCGTTCATTTGCTGTATTTAATTGAGTTTTTAAATTTGTAATATTCGTTTCTACAGTTCTCATATCCGATCTGGCCGTAAATGCTTCATTCTTCCATTTTTGAATTTCCTTTAAATTAATTTTTTATTAGGAAAAATTTAAACAAAAAATTCTTGTATTTCTTGCCTTTTCAGCATCAGTTTTAGCATCAATTAATTCATCTTTTAATTTTTGATTTTTTGTTAAAGATTCTTGTAAACGATTTTCTAAATCGCGTTTTACTTTATCAAATTCATCTCTAGCATTTAATGCTTCTGCTAGCCTTTGTTCAACTTGCTCAAGTTTTAGTCTTAATTCCTCTTTATCACGTTTGAGTGCATCCAATTCCTGTTTTTTAAAAGAAATAATTTAATAAGGATTTTAATAATCATCTATATTTTTGCATTTTTCATTTAAAAGGGAAAGGGAGAATAAGAAGGGATAGAAGATAGCTGAAGATCTTTCCGCTTTATAAAGTTCCTCTAAACTTGAATATTTGGGGTAAATAAGATGGTGTAACTAGTTTCATTAATTTTGTCATGACCAGATAATTTAAATTATAAATTATTTTCTTAAAATAATTTTTACATTTTTATGTGTTTCCCTTTCTGATTCAAATTCATTATTATTTCTTTCATTTATTTCATTAATTTCCCTCATTAAACGATCAATTTCTTCTTGTAATTTTCTTTTTAAATTTTCAATTTCAATAATTTGACTTTCATTTTCTTGTTGTAATTGAATTAATTTATCTTCAAGTTCTCTATTTTGTTTTTCTAATTTATCCTTTTCATCTTCAATTTGTCCAATTTTTATTTTCCATTTATCCTCAACTTCTTTAATTTTTCTTTCAACTAATTCTAAATCATATATTTCTGTTGGTACTTTCCCTCCATCTCCTTCCACTCCTTCTTCCTCCTCCTCTTTACCAAAACTTTCTTCTGTTCCAATTCCAGTTTCATCTGTTGCTGTTGTTCCCTTCCCTCCGCCTCCACCTATTTTCCATGCCGCTTTTTTATGTTTTTCTTTATAATATTTTTCAAGTTGTGCTAATTCATCTAAAAAATTTCTATTAGGAATATTTTTAATAATATTTTATCTTTATTCTAGATTTAAGTTAATGATATAAGTCATCCAGTTTAAATCTCATGTGGGATAACTCCGAGAATGGTTTCATCTATTATAATCATATGTTTAAGATGTTTAGCATGAGTTTTTCGGTTATTTTGGCACGTTTAAGAAAGCCCAACTTTGTAATTTTACTTACCTTCTAATTCCTTTATTCTTCCTTCTTTTTCCTTTAAATCATTTTCAAGTTGATTAATTTGATTTTTCTGGGTATCCATTTCTTCTCTTGATTTAGCCTCATATCCTTGTAATGTCGAATTTTCATTTCTTAATTTTTCCAATTCTTGTTCCGACTTCCTTACTAGCTCTTTTAAATTGGCCAATTCATTATCTACATCCTGTTTTTCTCTAAATTTTTAAATAAACGGCGAGTTAATTTTAAATAATTTTACTTTTGTATTTCCTGTCGCTCTCTTTGCAATCTTTCATTTAATTCAATTAAAATTTCCATTTCTTTCTGTCCAGACGAAAAATCATTTTCTAAAGCCAATAATCTGGCTTGTTGTGTTTTTAATTTTGCTTCTAATTCATCATTTGTTATTCTTAAACTTTTAATTTCTTTTTGTAAATTATTTATTTCATTTTTTAGATTTTCAATTTCTTTGTTTGCCAATTCCTTTTCACGTTCCAATTTTTCTCTCTTCTCAATTTCTGTATTTATTATTTGCTTTGAATTTTCTAATTTCTTTATTGCATCTTCCTTTAATGAACTAAAAAAATTAAAAATTAAAATTAATTTAGTTTTAAGTAGGGTAGCATCATGAGCCTTTGGAATCGGGTGTGTCGGGGAGGGCATTTCAGGCTTCGGGTCGAGGTTTTTGCCAAAAAAATCGTCGGGGTCGGGTCGGGATGCTACCCTACCTTTAATTAGTTAGAAGAAGGTGTTGGGAATTTGGATGTTATTCTCGTAATATACCGTCTAGCTTTTTCTGATGTAAACTAATCCATAGCCTAGGCCACTTTTGATAATTTTATCATATAGACAATAATGCCCCAATGCCCCTTTAAATAATTACTTTTGTTCATCTCTTTGTTGTTTTAATTCTCTCAGATTTTGTTCTAAAGCATTTATTGTTTTTGTTTGTTGTTCTTTTAATTTATTTAATTCTTCTAGTTTCGATAATAAATTGTCTATTTCTTCTTTTTTAGATTTTAATTCTTCATTTAATTGTTTTAATTGTTTTTCCATTATTTCATATTGAATTTCTAAAAATATTTTTAATTCATTAAAACAAAAAAATATAAACTTAAAGGACATAAAAATTTCGAATATTTTCATTGCATTTATTAAAAATGCTTTAATATTTGTAATTATTTTTAAATTAAAGTAAACAGAATATCTCCTATTTATTTCATGAGTCCCAAAAATTTCTGGAGTTTCTAAAAATATTTCCAAATAACCAAAATTTTTATTTAAAATTTAAGCAAAACCTTTTTCTTCAAACTTTTGTTTTAATGTCTGTACTTTAATTTCATAGTCCTTAATTTGTTGTTGCATTAAATTTAATTCATTTTTAATATTTCTTTTTTCTTCTTGTAAAGATTTTATTTTTATATTTAATTCTTCTATTCTTTAATTTTTATTTTTTAATAACTTTTTCCAAAAATATTTTTACCTATTAGAATAATCACTTTCTAAATCATTTTTAAATTGTTCAATTTCCTCCCTAGCCTTTCTCTTTTCTTCTCCAGCAATTTTTTCTATTTGTCTTAAAGAAATTAATATTTTTAATTCAAAAATTAATTAATTAACTGTTTAATTAAATTCAATTCATTTTCCAAAATTTTCTTTGACGCTTCAGAAGCATCCAAATCACTCATTGCCATTTTGTATTTGTCATCTAATCGCCTTCGCTCCCTTTCTGATTCCTCCAAACTTCGTTCACTAATTTTTTAAATTTTATTTAAATTATTTTTTGTTAATCTTAATTTCCTTCTAATAATTAACTAAAATTTTCGATTTAGTATAAGTCCCTTCTTTGATTCTTCATTTTTAACCCAGTTTAGGATACATTTAAAATTTTGTTGGCCATTTAGTGGGGGAACTATCTAAGTAATACCCCCCTCGCAATTTAAGATATCTCATTATAAGATTATAAGATCTCATTAGATCTCATAATCTCATAAGAATTTTTCAGCGCCAAAGGAATATCTTATAGTATTAGTAAATTAGAATTAATATTTAAATTTACAGTTCTTGTATATTTCTTCTCATAGAAACAATTTCTCTTTCAAGTCCCCTTTTTGATTCTTCATTTTTAACTAATTTTGTATTTAATTCAATTTGTAATCTTTCAATTCCTCTCAATTTTTCCCCCAATTGTTGTATTTCATTATCCCTTTTTTGTAAAGCTTTTTGGACATTTCTTACAGCATCAAAAGGATTTATCTTTGTTGGGGAAAGAGATCTTGAACGGACACCGTCATTTGAGGAATTTAATGAACAGATTTCGTAGATTTTTCTTGTTGCATTCTGAAATTTAGTGACTTTATTTGAAAGTAATTTTGTAGTTTTATTAAAGACTTGAATTTGGATGACACTATAAAATAATCCGAACCTCCCTTACCTTCATTTAAAATTAAATAAAAACGTACTTGATAACCACTCAATTTTTCTTTTGCGGCACGCAACTCAGCTTCTAATTCACTCACACGACGTGCATTCTCATCCTTACTTGATTCGAATTGTATATTTCTTTCAAGTACATCTTCATATCTTTTTTAAAAATTAAAAAAGTTATTACTCAATCCACTTAGAGGAGGCTTATTAACAAAAGAAAATTATTAACTTATCCACCCCTTCTCCTTTTATTTTCACCTCAAGTTTTATTTGAATCTTTACAAAAAAAATTTCAAAATTGTTAGAAGTTCCTTTCAACGAAATTTAATTTTCTTACTTTTTAATTAATTCTTTATATAATTCCGAATTTATTTCTTCACCACTTTCTGTTTTAATTTTGCCTTCATAATCAAATATTTCTCTCCCTCCTTTTCCGTCCTTAATTCTTCTTATAATTTCAAAAATAATTTTTTCATCAGTAAAAACTTTTCCTCCTCCTCCCTCAATTCCATTTATTCTTATATTTTTTAATAATCTTGTTATTTCTTCCTTTTGATTATCCAATTCTCTTTCCGTTTGTTCTCTTAAATCAACAAATTGTCTTCTAACTCGTTTAAGTTCTGTCCAAACATCCAAAACCTTTTTTTGTTCATCTCTGAGATATTCAGTTAAATTCTGAAAAATTTTTGGATTAAAAATTGAATTTTAAATTAAAAATATTTGAAGGGAAGAAGGTCCTTCCTCTTCAAAAAATCCCCAAAGAACTTTTCCTTATTTTTTTTACCTTTTCTTTATTTTTATGTTGACGGTCCTTTTCTCTTATTTCCCTTTCAAATTCCTTTTGTATTTCCATAATCTCGCTTTGAAAACGTTCACTTTGCATTCTTTCCTGTTCTAATTCCATTCTTAAATCTTCACATCTTTAATTTAAAAATATAATTAATTTAAAATTTAAATTAGAGACTGTAACTGTTCTACAAGAATCGAGAACGGCAACTCAAAAAATATCAACCTCAATAACCGAGATTATTCTTGAGTTCACGTCTCGATCCTATCCCTACTTTAAATAATTACCTTCTTCTTTCATCATCTAATTTCATCAAAACATTTTCATAATTCATATTAATTGTTTCCCTTCCACTCCACAAAGTTGTTCCATCTCCTAAAAACCCAGAATCTCCCAAAAAAGATATTGGAGTTTCTATTGTAGTTAATGGTTGTTGTCCTTTTTGAAGTCCAAGTTTTCTTTCCAAATCTTTAATGTTTTTACGATATTCAATTATCTGTTAAATATTAAATTTAGACGTAAATTTAGATTAATTTAAACCTTTTTATGCATTGCTGCAATATTTTCTGAATATTCTTTTTGATTTTCAACATTTGCATCAATTCTCTAGAAAATATATTTTTATTTTAAATCGGGAATATTATTCTAAAATCTGGAGGATCTTTTCAATTTATTTTTTTTGAATTTTATTTATCATCCTTCCTCCTCCTTTTGACTATAACAAGAAAAAACAAAATTTAATCAAACCATTCTGCATCTATTCAAATCCTCTTGAGTTCTCCCCAATCTTGATATTCCACCACCAGCACCTTCCATATTTCCAAAAAGCAAATTATATGTATCGTCTGTGTAGAATGCCTCCCCATTTGGATCCCTACTATGATCAAATTTTTATTTATATTTAAGATAACCCCCATATGATTACTAAATTTTATTGTTTTATGGCCCTCATATCTCATCCCTGTACTTAAATAGATAGAAGGAAGTTCAGATTCACGTTAACCTTTATATCACCACAAAAAAATTTACTCACCAGTAAAATTGTGTTTTTTCTTCATCACTCGAAGTTCCTCCAGTATTAATCTGTTGTTCACCATCCTCAACCATGCTTAATAATTTCCTAGCTAATTTAAATTTAAAATTATTTTTCTAAAAATTTTGTAACCAATTTCTCTTGCTTCCTTAGCTTCTCTAAGTCTTTCTTTTTGTTTTTCAGATTCACTTGCAGTTAAATAAAAATTTATTTGTTCTGCACTTAAAGTTTTAATTAATGATTCTTTTCCAAGTTTTTTCCAATTAAATTTATTTTTTAAAAGAGAATCTACTGATTTTGGACTTGTTGTTCTATTAAAATTATTTTGAGAATTTTTAGGATAAAATAAAAGAGGGGAAGTGGAAGTTGAAGATGATGGGGAAGGGGAAGTTGTTGTTTTTGTTGTTTTTTCTTGTCCCTCTCGTTTATCAAAGCTACCAGCTTTTTTGGTAGCTAATAGTGAAGAACAACTGAAGAGCATCGACCATTATGTCGTTATTTATCATTTTAGTTTGGATACACAGAAAATTTATCTTAAATATTTTTTGTAAAATATTTTGGCCATAATATCGAGAAATATTTTTCAATTTCTTCAAAAAATTTTTCTTTGCGCAAATATTCTTGTTAATGATTGATAGAAAAAAGGAAAAAATATGAGGGAATTTAAAAGTATAAAATAAACTGAAAATTGATGAGCCAAAAATTCTTTTGGGAATAACTTTTCTTTTTCAATTTTGGGGTGGCATTTGCCGGCTGTCAATTGCAGTTTTTGCCTCTTCCCTATTTTGTTCTATAATTTTATGGTTGACACTTCCCTTAAGGCTATATAGTAAGTAAATCCTTCTTTTTATTTTTGGTAAACAAAATGACTAGTATTTTTGAGAGAAAAAACATTTCAAGAAAAAAAAAACATTTTGAATGCAAAAGGAATTGATTTTTAAATAAAAAATGTAAATGAGTAAAGCTTAGAGGGAATGAGAGGATTTCTTTAAATATTTAAATTGGGGAAAGGCACGTTATTTTTATGACAAGTAACGTTACGGCATGCCAACTGATAAAAAGTACAATGGTGAAATACTTTTATGGTTATATTTTTTTAGTTACTAATATAAATCTTCATATTTTGGATGTGTGTAGTAGAGATCGAGCTGAGCCTGGACCAAGACCTGGGTTTTTCCTGTACCCAGAGTCTAGGCCCAGGCATATAAATTTAATTGGAAGGGCCTAGGCATTTTTTACCTTCCTGGGTTTTTCCTGGACTACAGGCCCAGGATCTGTCCCAGGTCAATAAATCAAACCCGGAACCCAGGAACAGGCCCAGGCTTTTCAAAAATCTCAATCTGTAGGGGCCTCCTTGACCCCTTTTTTACTTTCCTTTTTGAATTTCTAATAAATTATTTCAAATGTTTTTCTTTAAAGCTCAATTTATAAATGTTTTTATTGGCATTTTTTGTTCTCAAAAAATAAAAGTACAATTTAATTGAAGCTATTTTAAGCATTTCTCGCTAAAATTCTTTGCTGCTATAGTAACAACTACTTTCATTTAAAGCATTACTTGTAAATTTATGTTGGATAGATTTCATCTTTTTATGGGTGGCATAACATAAAAAAGAGAGAGAGAAGTATATATCTTCCCAACTAAATTATGCAAAAGGATTTTGGTTAAAAAAGGGGTAAATTTTATTTAGAAAATGTTAAAATTACATATAAGGGAAAAATATTTTTTAAAATATTTTTTGACAAAATATTTTCAAAAATAAAAAATAAATAAAAAAATAATTCAAGTAAATAATTTTTAAATAAAAACACGTTCCTTTTCCCCTTTTAATCGCAACAATATCAAAAATATACCAAACAATCATTGTCAGTCAATAATCTCACGCAAAAAATGCAACAATTATTAAGTGTTACTTAAAATATTTTTTTTGAGTGTGAAAGAATTGTACTGGATAATTTTTTTATGAAAGAATAAACAAGTCTTTTTTAAATTTTATGTTGAAATTGAAGGAAAATGATTTTTAATTAAAACTTTAATAATTAAATTTTTTACTAATTTTTGTTATCAATTTTCAGAAGTGAATATTTTTTAATAAAATTTTTATATAAGAATTTATTTTTTATCCGACCTCGTTTAAAAAAATTTTTTATTTAAATTATTCTTTCCTGTACAGATGCAGAAAAATACGACTAGAAATCTTTCCTTAAGTTAGAACTTGAGAGGAACCCCTGTTCAAAAATTTCTATTTTTTGGAAAAATATGAAAATAAAATAAAAACTGGTGATTTAAAAAATAGAGTTTTATCTGATATCCTAATTTAATTTTTTGTTCAACTTTTTTTTCATATAAAATACTTTTAAAAAAACCAATTAAAAATTAATTTTATTTATCGATAATCAATTAATTACATTAAATAAAAATTATTTGGGAATATATTTTGGAAAATAAATTCATTATGAGAGATCAAGTAGATAATTAAACTAAATTAAAATAATTGATTTAATTGATTAAAGTATTTATCAATAAAAACAATATTTTCTTTAAATTCTTTTTATTTTCCAAATCCAACATTGAAAAGGTTTCGATCAAGCCTCTTCCGGAATAAACTGGCACGCCAGCGAGTAGGCCAAGTTTGCTTTCTTGTAAATTTTATTTGCTTGTTTTGTTGCGGCTTCTTTTCTGTTTCAGCTAATTCACTCGAGACAGAGTTTAAAAGTCCAGGACCGCTCAAATCAAATAAAAGGGGAATGGCGATATTTGAATGCTGAAAATAAATTAATATTAAATATTTAAATATTAAGAAAGTCGAAATAAAAAACGAATAATATGGGGATGGAAATCCTTAATTTTTAACTGAGCAAGGACTAAATTGAATAATTCCCCACACTTCTTTAAAAAGACAATGGTAGAAACAACAAGACATAAATAAAGGCAGAAGACGGTTTCGGGATTCCCGACAAATCTCTTACAAACTTAGGAACGTATACTTATTCTCAGAAACGAAGTAAGTTAAAAGGGATTTAATATTTTAAAGGGAAATATTAAATTTATTTTAAATTTTTAGTTGCATTTCAATAAATAATTAATGTGAGAATGCAAATATTAAATTCAAAAATCCTTTTTTTAGCTTTAATTAATTAAATAATTAATTAAAATTACCGCAAGTATTTCCTCTCGTTGTAAATTTCCTCTTTCGTCATTAAATGGCATTAAAGAGCTCTTCTTTCCAAAGCTCATTCTAAATGTATTTCCATCCATTTGTGGCCATTTTTGTAATGAATTAATTAATTCATTATTTTGTTCCTGCCTTTTTCCAAAATTCATTTGAAAGGCATTTCGATCCAAATAATTTATATTATTTTTGGATTCCCCTTTTGTTGTTGCAATAATTAAGGTTGGAATTATTTGAATAATTGTTAAAATAAAAATTAAATGGAAATTAGATAATAATGGGGACATTTCTTTTTGAATATTTTATCTAAAAAATATTATTTTTGTTTAAAAAAATTAAGGAAATTATTTAAAAAGCGAAATTAATAAGTGATAGGTTTTGAAAGAATTATTGGAGCTAATGATTTTATTAGTTAATAATGTTCAATCAAACTTTTCGGGAAAGTGAAGAAAACACTGTTCATTGTTGCAGAACAGTTTGAAAAATTAATGGTTTATGAACAATGAACATTGGTTACTATGTAAATATCATTTCTACTGCTACCTACTACCTACACTATTTTCCTTATTTTTATTGCTTTTCCTAAACTCAATATCTAAATTCTATTAAATTAATTAAACACATGTTTTGAATTATAAGAATTAATTGAAAAATAAAAATTAATTTAATAAACAAAAGAAAATAATTTTTAAATTAACACGGTATTTCCGTTCCGTATTTTTTAACCTCCAAAGATTTTAGTTAAAAAATTGTTTATAATAATAAATATCCTTAAGGAGGTTCTAATGAAAAAAGAAACTTGTTAAGTAAATAAACGGAAAGAATTATTTATTTATTTTTATTTAATGCCAATTCCTATTTTTGCAAAAAAACGGAAAAAAGATTTTCTAAGAAAAATAAGAGGAGTAAATTAAATAAGAATAATTTTAATTAAAAAAATATTTTTAAAAATAAAATTAGAATTATTTTATAGAAATTGAAATTGATAATTTAACTTTAATGAACTTTCTATTTTTATTTTTTTTTGAATTCAAAAAAGGAAATTAATAATTTATATATTTAAATTTCCTTTTAAAGAAAAATATAAATAAATAAATATATGTATGTATGTTGTATTTAAATATACATATGCTTGGCTCGTAAAGCTGGCAATCGTAGAACCAGCCATAACTTTATTTGCAATAAGTTAGAAAACTTAAAAATCTTTTTTAAAATTAATTTAATTATTAATTAATTATTTAATTAAATAATTAATTACCGCAAGTAAAACTTCCTTTTTCACCATTTAATGGCATCAAAGACTCAAAATTCTTGGGGGAACTGACTAAATTATATAATTTTTTCATTCGTAAGGGGTATATAAATTCGAATTTTACTGTATTTTCGAAAATTAAATTTAAAAAAATTAACAAAAAAATTTTTACAAATAACAAATCCAAATTTATTTAAATATTATTTTTATTTAAAATTAATATTGCGTGCTACATTAAATAAATTAATTGTTTTAAACATTTGCGTGATTTTAATTGTAAAAAGAATTGAAAAAATTTTTTAGTTCATTTGTTTGAAATAAAATAAGAAAATGTTAAAAATATCTTTACTTCAAAAAATAT